GCGTATTACGTAAAGCGTATTACGTAAGGCGTATTACGTAAAGCGTATTACGTAAGGCGTATTACGTAAAGCGTATTACGTAAAGCGTATTACGTAACGCAAATGACGTAAGACGTATTACGTAAAGCGTATTACGTAAGACGTAAGACGTATTACGTAACGCAAATGGCGTAACGCAAATTACGTAACGCAAGAACGTAACGTACAGAATACTATGGAATCATGACGCTTTAAAAAATGTGTATTATTATGGAATCTCTACTTAATACTCTTCCATTCCATGCTGTATGAATAAATCATTATACATATACTATGTATCTATAATTATTTAAATGCTATAATTTCTAAAAGGCCCTTTATATATTTATTTTGCCTTGTCAATATGTCAACCTTAAAAGGAACTTTAAGAAAAAGGAAGTCCTTTATCTCTTGTAGAGACAACCCATTAACAATGTTAGGCGTAGCCTGTAGCAGTCGACTTTGTATATAAAGAACGTAAATCTTCCTCTCTCGCTCACACTCTCGTCCTCCGTGCCACTCACACATTCATCTAGGTATCCATAATTCCATTGAAGCGTTGAAATTTTATTGTCTGTCATGTGCCTCAGAGCAGATTCATTCATTTCTAGTCATGGCAACATGGAAAATAAAGTCATATGAATATCCCGGCGAGATGCTGGCTAGGGGGCGTGGCTGGGGGCTGTCACAGGTGCGGTGTCGTAGCGGAAGCGACACAGCCTGAGACACTTGGCAATTCGGTAGAGGGTTTCCTTTATTATTGTATTCGACTCTTATTTTTTGTCTATTTCTGCTTTTATTTTTTGTTCTTCTTTTTTTTTGGCGCATTTCATCAAAATTGATTTTCTTTTGCTTTTTTTAGGAGCAGAATGAGGTTGTCATTTGGCTGTGCGTGGCTTTCACTTTCACTTTGACTTGCGCACGATTTGTTGACTGACTGCCTGCCACGCCCCCCCGTACCCAAAACCCGTCCGTCTTGCTTGTTATTTGAGCGCGTTACTCATACGCAGCGTGAAACGCACACGTCTGCATTTCTCAGCGTACTTCACGTAATTGCTGCCTCCTTTGTCTGCCTGCGTCCCTTATTGTTGGCGTCGCAGAAGGCGTGGCATGCCAGCTCTTCCCACTTATTGGCCAACAATGCTGGCCAAGTGCTTAGATCTGTTATTGAGTGGATGCTTTAAAGTTTTCTCTTTACATTTTATTCATAGTTTTCTGCTTACATATACATATATAACTCTCTCTACCCCCTCTCTCTCTCTCCTACTCTGCTACTCTGTCTTTGTCTGGCTTATATAAAAATACAGTTTTCCACATGTGTGAGTGTGTCTGTCTGTGTGTGTGTGTGTGTGTTTGTGCGTTTCTTTGTGTTTGACTTTTGGCTTTGGAAGCTGTTTCTCTCTTAACACTGAATTACTTAAATTACAAATTACAATTCGCCGAATCCAAAAATGTTAACATGATTTCTCGTTATTTGCTCAACTCTAGACACGCACACACAGACACATACATCGATTTGTATACCGTTACATATATATGTATATATATATAGTACTTGTACAGTTAACTATAGGTAGCATCCGTTTCGCTGCAAGGTGCAACCAGGCGTGGCTAATAGGAAATGCGTTTCTTGTTTACTTTACTTCCGTTGTCTCTCAATTTCTAGCTTTCTGCTTCAGCAAATTGGTGTCTCTTGGTGGTTGTTGTTCTTGTTGTTGTTTGTTGTAGTTCTTTGCATATATAATTATATATATCTCTAAATATATATGTATATATATATATATGCTTTGTTTTACCTAAGCGTATTTGAAACGTCTCTCGTTTCATAGAAAAATAAAATCTAGCTTGTAAAATTGGACTATTGCCGAGTTGGCATTCAAAATGCCATTTCAGCTTTCGCATATGTACAACGATCTTCCCCCCTCTCTCTCTCTCTCTCTCGCTCATTCTCTCTGTGTGTGTGTTTTACAAAAAATTAATTACTTTTAGTTAGTCGTGTAATTTCAACTTGTTTTTCCCCATCTGCTCCCTCGCTCCGATTTCTGTTTCTGTGTTCTCTGGCTCTCTCTTAACTAATCTACTTTTACACACTTTGAGGCACATTCAGTTTGAATCATTTTACAAATTTATAAATTTGCGCTACATAAAAACAAAACCTTTCCCCCTTCCCTCTCTCGCTCTCTCTCTCTCTCTTTGTGCTGGGCACCTGCTTGGCGCTGCCGTAAAACTAATTGTTAAAATTAAAAATTGATTTGAAAGCACGGGAGCTGGCGCTCAGCCAACTCGGCTCCAACTCCAACTGGATAGCAACTTTGTAATCTGCAGCATGTCCATGCTCCATTGTTCCATATGTACTAACTCCTTGGCCTTCTGCGCGAAGCGTCATGCATTTATCACTGGAGTGTCGCCATGCGGCTGGCCCTGTTTGGGTCGCCCCCTCCGCCCTCCGCCTACTGCCCTCTGCCCGGGCTTAGAGCGTGTTCTGTTTGGCCACATCGCCGCATTTGGCAGCTGCCTCAAGGCGGGCACGTGGGCGCCGCTTGGTCTGCAGGGAATAGAGACGACCGCTGCGTGTTCGCATCTGTGGCTCCGCACCGTCCCGACCGCCAGATCCGCCACCGCCGCTGCTGCGATAAGTCGCGAATGATGAAACGTTTTAGACTGAATCGGAATTGCAAAAAAAAACAGGCGAGCAATGGCTGCCTACTCACTTGAGCTCCAGCTTGGCCAGACGCTGCTTGATTTTGGCCTGGCTGGCCGTGTACTCGGCCAGCAGGCGCGCCAGTCGCATGTTCAGGTTCTCCACGGACAGCTCCAGCTTCTCGATGCCGCCCTCGATGCTGTCGTGCACGCGCTGCGAATCTGTGTGTGGGCCAGAAAACGGAAGAAACGGAATAACGGAAGTTAGCTAGCTGCCGGAAGTGGAGATATATGAGCAGTGATTACCCGCAAAGATCTGCTCGTCCAGCAGCCCGTCCTTGCGCAGCAGCTGACAGCCGCGCTGCGTGAGCGTGGAGCGCGCCTCGGGATAGTCGGCTAGCGTCTCCCACAGATCCCGCTTGGCCAGACAGAAGAGATCCGAGTAGCCGAGCGAGCGTACGTTCGCCGTGCGCCGATTGCCCGTCCGGTTGCCCGCTATCTCCAGCACGGACACCTCGCCGAACACCGAGCCAGCGCCCAAGGTGGCCAGCACGGTGACGCCATTGTCGCCCACGACGGACAGCTTGCCGCGCTTCACAATGTACATCTCCTTGCCGACGTCGCCCTTGCGGCAGATGTAGTCGCCGGGACTGAAGACCTGCAGCTTCAGTTTGAGCACCAGCGCCTCCAGCAGGCCCGGCTCGGTGTCATGGAAGATGCGCACCTGTTTCAGCGTATCCATGTGCACCTGTATGGCTATCTCGGCTTTCAGCTTGTCCGGCAGCGCGGCCAGCACCCGCTCCTCGTCCAGGGCGCCGCTCTGCGACCAGGTGTACGCGAACCAGCGTATCACGCGCGCCTCCAGCTCATGGCCCACACGCCGGAAGGCCATGTACTGCTTGACGCCATCCATGCGATTCTGGAACTCCACCCGCGCCACATTCATGTTGGATATCATCGAGCCGATGTTACCTGCGGAACAATGTGGTTTTCATTAAATGTTTTGTCTTTGTTTACCCTGTAGTTAATTACACGAGTGGGGTATGACAAGGGTAAGGGGTGTAGCTGTGTGGGATGAGGATGGTAAGGGTATTTACAGGGTATCTGCAGAGGAAATTTGGAGTGTATCTAAGGCTGTATACAGAGTATCTTCAGAGTATACACAGTGTTTATATATGATATCTACAGGGTATCTCGAGGGCATCAAGCTAGCCATCAGCTAGTACAGTTAACACAGTAGTCAATCCTATAGAAACTCTATGAACTCTACGATTTTCCTACAAACATGGGCATTATTTATGTTTCACATCCACAGGGTATTTCCCAGTCGAGCGTATTCCTGCCTGGCTAACGTCTATCTACCACATTTTCATTTACATACACACATCTACGGCATTGTGAGACCTAGTCAATCAATATTATCAAATATTCAAATAATGGAACGGGTATCTGCCTAGTCGAGCATGCATGCAATTCATACTTTTATTGACTGTTTTGTTAGAGACTCGTTTTAATTTCGACAGCCATTTCCGTAGCGCCACTTGTGTGTCGTAAATTCTTCAAGAGGCCCACGCGTGGCGCAACGGAACGCGTGGCACAAAGGCGACTAATGGCGGCACTTCCGGTGCACAGAGGACCGCGCAGACAGAGAGAGAGAGAGAGAGAGAGGGAGACAGACAGCATTAGCATCTTCTCCATATGTACATATGATGGTAAAATATGCCACTTTGACGAACTCTGCATTCATCATGGGTAAGTAAATTTGTTTGCCCAGATGTCAGGCGAGGACAAGAGCAACAGCAGCAGCAGCGGCTGCTGCCCGGTAATGGCGGCGATAAGCAGGACGACAAAAATGATAAAAAGGCACGTTTGCCAAAAAAACAACAAGAGGACGAGCGTGGCGAATGTGAAGGCGTTGACAGCAACAAATCAACCCAGCACATGCCAAAATGAAAAACAAAACAAAGTAGAGCAGCAGCAGCAGCAGCAGGAGCGGCAGCAATAATGAATAATGTGGGTCGGAGACGGTGCCCGGGTACGGTCTACAAAAAGGGACACGGACGTGTGGGTCGTTGTCCCTGACGTACGTGGCGGGAGCTGTAAATTAATACCCATTGATGTCACAGATGTCACTCGGCAACCAATTAAACGATCAGACGAAATATTTGCGTAAACAATGCGCCAAAACAAACAAGCGAGAGCCCCAAATGAACCAAGCCCCCCCCCCCCCCTCGGACTCTGACTCTGGCGCTACAAAGGACCTTAGCCAGAAATATGTATATTTGCATTTGCGTATCTACTCACCCACAATGGTGGCAAAGATGAGGACGCCGGCGAGAAAGTCGGCGACCACAAATAAATATTCAACATCATTCTCGGGCGTCGGCGTCTCACCAATCGTCGTCAGCGTCAGCGTTGACCAATAGAAGCTATAGATATATTGTCGCTGCAGCGTATTGTTGCGCGTGCCATTCAGGTTGTAGACCCACGAGTCGGAGCTGAAGCCAATCTCGTAGCTGATGGCAAAGTACATGCAGGCATTCCAGTGGATCAGCACCAGAATGGCCAGCACCACCTTGCAGATGCGAAAGGCGTTCGGGTATCCCGTTGCCGTCTCGGTGCGATCGAACCACTCCCAGAGGCGGGGCAGACGGAGCAAGCGATTCAGACGCACAATCACCGGACAGGGCAGATACAGGCTGGAGCAGGTCTCCGGCGGCCACCAGATGTAGGCCAGGTCGGTGGGCAGCATGGAGAGCACGTCCAGGTACCAGCCCTTGGTGTGGAAATAATGACGCCGCAGCCGGAACGCATCGCGCACTAGGAGACCCTGGTCCAGAAAGCCTGCGGACGAAAGTTGTATTAAATACGGCCGGGATCAACATGCTGTGTGTGTGGTTGGCCCTGTGCGTGTCCGTGTGCGTGCGTGTGTGTGTGTGTGCGTGGGCGTGTGGTTATGCCTTTTGGTTATTGTTTTTCCCTATGCCACATGCAGCGAGGCATTTCACAGTTGGCAGCGCAACAGAAATGCAAAACTTGGAGCTAAAACTTTGATACCCTTGCAACAGCAACTGGATAATCCGCTCGGTTTATTTACACAAATCCTTTGCAGGATGTGAGCATCTGAATGAGAAGTGCTTCGTGAGTTATATTGAACAACATTTAGAGCCGAGCTAATGGAATTCTCAATGCAGAGAGTACTTAAGAGCTTGAGCTGAGAAACAGTTAAATAATTGCAAATTCTAGAAATGTTTTGAATATACTTGTTATTATTGTTAGGATTAGTTATATGTTTTAAGTGTTATTGAGAGCTGAACAGAGCAAACAAGAAGTAGTTTAAGCTGAGAAGAGTTCGACTATACAAAGTTCTATTCCAAGTCCAAGCGAAAGAGCAAGTCGAAGTCGAAGTCTAAGTCTAAGCTCAAGTTCGTGTCCAAGTTAAAGTCAAAGTCTATGTTTAATATTATGTCGAAGCCCAAGTCCAAGTCGAATTCCAAGTTCAAGTAAAAGTTCATGTTCAGGTTCAGGTCCAGGTCTAGCTCCAGGTCCAGGTGTAGATCTAGGTCTAAGTCCAAATCCAAGTAGAAGTTTCGGTTCAAGTCACAGCAGATCAGGCTCAAGCTGATTTCCAGGCCCAGGCTCAGCTCAAGTCAAGCTCCAGCTCCAGGTTCCGGTTCAAGTCCAGGTTCAGTGCTCCCTGTCTTAGTCAGCTAAAAATCCCTTCAAGTCCAGGTTCAGTGCTCCCTGTCTTAGTCAGCTAAAAATCCCTGTATAGATAAGCTCTACTGCTCAAAACTCTTGTTTTTAACTGCCAAATACGAAATGTTAAACCGTAAGCCAATATAATATGCTATTAGATCAAATCCAGCTGGCTTATCTGCTACTCTCAGCTGAGACCTCGGCTAAGACCTACAGCTCAGCTAAGGCCGCACTCAAACTGTTGCAGGGGATTTGTAGCCGAGGCAACTGAGTTTTCATTTACGCTGCATTTGCGTTCATCATCTTATTTTCTAGATAACTTATTCTCATTAGTTTGTAGTGTAAGCGCTGGAACTGAACTAGTTGTGAACTATTACAGTTAGCGCATTCTTTTCCATCAAATTTCGTGTTTGTTTTGCTATTCAGTTTTATCTCGACTCGGCTCACAAAGTGACAATGCTCACGGCGAGTGTATTCCACAGAAATTCCTTTTGTTGTTGCCGTGTGAAATGTCAAGGCTGGCTTATTCCTGCATTTGGCAACTCGCAGACAAGCACACACACACACACACACACACACACACACATACATATATATGCTGATGTATGCATTGTATATGGCAGCACAAATGGTTTTTGCTGGCAACCATTGTCTGCCTCGGCTTAGTCAGACCAAAAGCCACCAAGTCTCATTTGCATAAGCAGTCGCAGTCGCAGTCGCAGCATCACTTCCCAGCTCCTGGCGCTGCCTCCACTGTCGCCTGCTGTCTGCTGACGAACTGAGTTGGGGAACTTACCTTCGTGCATGTGCACCAGTGTATCCAGCAGGTAAATGAAATCGCACAGATAGTCCAGCGTGTACCAAACGGCGGGCGCATTCTTGTTGATCTCCCAGAAAACGGAACGGCCCACCACAAAGATGATATTATAGAGCACCGCCAGCGACACCACAGCGAGCCACTGTCATAATGCACACATATACATATATATTATATTAGCTAATGGATTGGCATGGTTCCTGATGACTTACCCTGTAATGGGACTGCAGTGTGGGATCCACGGAGAGGCGATTGCATAGAGCGCTGCTGCCGCGAATTTCGCTCGATAGCGCCGCATCGTCCATGGCTCCGGTTTTGCCTAATTTGTCCGTGTTGGTGGCATTCGAGAACTTCTCGAGGAACCAGTCGGGCGGCTTGGCGCGATTCCGTTTTGTCAGACGTTGCCGCAGCGCCTGCAGCGTGCGTCGCAACGCTGACGGTTTGCTCCCTTTGCTCGGCTCCTGCAGATACAAAATGTCAAGAGTATGGCATCAAGTTTACTTCACGCAAGTTTATCGACCCTGCTCCCTCCTCCCCCTGCCCTGCCCTGCCCCGTTTGTCATGTGAAATGTGCCACACAACTGGCGCTAGCTAATTGAAACATTTTAATGACCATCTCCATTGCCTTTGTGCGCTCGGTCGGGGTAACCACATTAAAACTTGGTCAGCATCTTGTAAGTTTGACGCTTAAATTTTGTTATGTCTGCACAGCTGCAGCAGGACAAGCGACTCCAGGGAAACTATGTATAGAGATATAAACATTCAGCTGAGCTGTACAGCGCTGGGGCTGAACTTTTCCTATTGAGTGCATTATGTTTCACTTAAGCTTTAAGTGATGGATAACAAGAAGACGATGCCATAAATGGAGGATTATTCAATTACAGCTTTAGCTGCTGCTTACGACTGGGCAAGCAGCAGAAGCCTTGCTAATCAACATGTTCTGGGAATGAATGAATAGTAAACTAAAATTGCCCTTCTATGCGAATTTCATAGGAATCCAACATTTATATATACTTTAAGAAAAAAAGTACGCTTATACATACTAATATTAATCTAAAGTGTTTAATCAATGCTTGGCCTAAATGCCCATGACCCTTCTTTGCGATTCTCATGCATTCCAGTTGAGCTTTCAAGTGTTGCACTGTTTACGATTTTTGTCACGAAATGCTTAATAAGCAATCAATATATATGTATGTTGTATGTTTTTTGTTTTGGCTAATAATAAAGGGTGATTCACACCAAGCAAACCTTGCTCTTCTCGGCCATTCACATATATTATTATTAAAATCACATTAATCAATCAAGAGCAAACTTCTAGACGATTCTCGAAATTTCATAAAGCTTTTTACATAACTTTCATAGAAGTGTTAATACAAATACAGTCTCACTATTATATGTTTATCTTTTGCTATCAGATGACTGGGTACAGGGTATATCCTTATCAATCACACTCACGCATATCATCTAATACTAATGACACTGAACACTTTGAGGTCAAGAGGGTAACAGCACATTTAGTTAACAGACAAGTTAGTCTTGGTGCTTATGCTAGGGGTTCTCATAGCATCTAAAGTTTATACTACATACATATGTATGTATAAACATTGTACACATACGAATACATATGTTGGTATGCGGAGACTTTATGGCTAGCACGCACACACACGCACACACACACACACATGGAGCATCACACACGTGATGCTTGTTTCGCGTTCACTCTGCACATCCTGAGATTAGGGACGTGTGCTTGACAGTCTAATAAACGCGTATCAGTCGCTGCCAGCGGTTAATCCATTAAGCTATATAGCAACGCATGACTCCCTATGCGTTGCTGTGTGTGTGTGTGTGTGTGTGACAGTTGGTATGAAAGTTGGGATTCAATGTGACGCATATATCGCTATCTATATAGCAGCCCTTTGGGCGCAATGCTAATGACAATGCAATGCCACGCCTCCCGCTGCGCCCAGCTGTAGTGAAGGTCGCACACACACACACACACACACACACACAAGCATACATTTGGTATTTATTTATGTACTACTTTAAGCTGACATTTACCGCATCGTTCTGTTGTGGCTGTTGTTGTTGTTGTCCGGCTATGGCTGCTATATCCAAAGATTGCACCATGGCTTTGACTTTGAAATGTCGCATGCAAACGCGACGTTAATGCCGCACGCGTCTTTTCTCTCTCTCTCTCTCTCTCTCTTTCACTCCCTCTTTCACTTGGCACTTTCAATTTGAATCGTTAACTTTAACCTACAACGGTTAGGAATAGCGTTTTAATTAAATACCGTTAGCCTCTTTCGCAGCTGCGCATGCGCGTCGACGTCGAATGGCCCGTTAGCACTGGCAAAAAAAAATGCGTTGCGCGCTTTGCATCTGCCATTGAAGGCAATACTAGCAACGTCGCGACGTCAGCAGCGCCGCTGACGTCGCAGTCGACGTCAAAGTCACGAACGCGCTGCTCTGGCCACGGCAGGCATACACAATAACTAAATGTGGTTTGTTGTAGCTGTTGTTGTTGTTGCTTTTGTTGCTGTTGTCAATTCGAATTGCCGTTTTTTTTTTTTTCGCTGCTGCTGCTGCTGGTGTTGTATTTTGCAATTTTCTTAATTTGCATGTGCCGACGTCGGCGATGTCGTCGGCGTTTAATTAATTAACCCGCAAAAGTCTCAAGTGACTCGAGTCCTTCATTGCCAGCGCCACCTGGCAGCCGCAGCCGCAGCGGCAGCCGCAGCCAGAGGACAAAAGACTTGTTATTGTTGTTATTGTTGTTGTTGCTGGTGTTATTTGTGTGGGGTGTGGATACTATAGCCATTGATGGCAATTCGACAAGATTGATGACACTTTCAGCTGAACTGCGCGCGTTTTTGTAAACGTTTTTTAATTGTTTGGCCATCATTTAATTAAGCTGAAAGCCGTTGGCAAGCGCACAAGCAAACTGAACGAAGGCGATCAAGCGAGTGCGGAGCAGCTAGATATCGATAGCTAATCGCTAAATCGATATGTTTTGCCGCACAGTGTTTACACATGCATTTCAACGAAAACTGGTGCATAAATTAAGCTGACAGGAAGCAGCGAACCAGTTGTAAATTGTTGATGTTGTAAACATGTTGATTAAATGCTGTTGAGCTCATCCACTCACTAGTTGCATGCCAAATTATTTATGCAGTTACTGTTATATACTGCTTATTTTGTTTCATTTGCAAGGCTACAGCCAAAAACTGCTTGAAATTACAATCGGGATCGGAATCGAAATATAATTTGAATTACCCCCCGCCGGCGTCGCAATCATCCATGAGCTGTGCTGCCGAGACCCCAACGGCTGGCTTCTGGCCTGATTGGCATTCACAGCGCTGCGTCGTGAGCTGCACAATAAATTTCCATAATTGCCCGGCGTCCGTTAGGTGTTGACACAGCTGAGTTGGGCGGTCGGTGGGCAGGTGGGCAGGTGGGCGATACCTGCCAGGTGGTTAGACGCACCAGTATTATGCTAAGCAAATCAGGTGCCGCCGTTGATGTTTATTGCATGCGTGAATTTTATGCCCAAATAAAATTGCTTTAAGTGACTTTTAAAATCCCCCACAAAGAGCATAGACTGACTGCAAGACCTTTGGAAATGACCAGTGGACACGAAATTGAAATGCCAGCCAAGCCGTGCACTCCCCGAATATGAGAAGGTCAGGTCTGGGCACGTGGCACCAATTGAAGAAGGCAAACCCAAAGCTCTCAATGGAAATTGTCTTGCTGCTAACCGGCTGGGCATGTAACTGAAACTGTTCTCAATCAAATGTGTTTACAAGCCTAAGTGTGTGTGTGTGTGTGTGCGTGTCTGTGTGAGTCTCCTATTTCCGTTTTTGACATGGGCAAGCCCCGAAAAGTAAAAGATTGAATGTCAAGTGCGAAACACAAAATATTTACTATTTCATTTATGTTTGCAGATGTGAAAATAGGAAATATGCCTGCTTGAGTTCTATAAACAGTGTTGAGCAACGTTTGCATATAATAGATATGGCCAGCTTTCTATCGGATATCTTTGAATTGTTAGTTGTTTGGGATTTTGAGAGATTATACCGTCAAATAATTTGCAAAGCTCTGGCTCTGGCAGCTGTTAATCTAATCAAATCTAACTGAACTGGATTTACTGATACAAATTAAATGTATGGATTTATGCAAATCCATTTATTTTAATTAATATCTATTTTTTGTTTAATCATAAATATATGAGTATATTCTACAGGAAACATACAGATAGAGAAATGTAGTTGAATATCCTTGTTTTATTTTGAAATTTGTCTATGAAATGTATTAAAAATTTAATGCGTCATTTTTGGCGAATTTATCAGCACTGTAAATTAATGCTTTAAGGTTTTAAATTCATTTTAAGAGACTAAAAATCAACTGATGCTTAAATATTTAAGAGCGCAAATTGTATTTAAGTGGAGGGTCTCATTAATAAGGTCTCGCCGTATCAAAAGGACCTTCTTTAACTTTTTGGCTTCTGAGCTGAATCGTAATATGATTTACAGCTCGACGAGCTGCGAATAATTCGAAATACATTACAAAATTGCGAATTTATGACCTGGCACATGCGTTATTCCCTTATCCATATGCTGGCTCCGTGTATTAACGGGGGACACGAGCCACTATCATAAACAACATTCAATTGTCAAGCTGATAACCTCTTTATACTTCTATTTCTATTTCTATTTTTCTTTTTTTTTTTCTGTGTGTACTTGAACTTTGATACATGTGCCAGAAATGATTATTTACTTGTTATTGCGATATAGTTATCTGCCATATTTGTGCTATTCTATTATTTGTTTTTCCAAAAGAGATTTTTTCCGTGTGTTTGGGCTTAATGCATCAGCGAGCGACGTGGGAAATTATGCAAATGTGTCGCAAATTGGATGACGATGGCCATAAACAACAGCGCTTATCGATGACAGCAGCAGCAGCAACAGCAACAGCAACAACAACAGCAGCAACTGAAATGACAAATACACACACACACACAAAGGTTGACTAACAAGGTTTTTGCTGCTGGTCCAAAAAGGACCCTCATCAACACAAAATCCAGCTGCCCGGCGTCCCTTTTTTTTTTTTTTTGCTCGCTTGACTAATCTTTTGCGTCTTGTTGGTATTTGTTTACACAGCGAATTAGTCAATTTTTGATTTAGTGCCAGTATTCAAAGTCAGCAACTCCTTTTATTTATATGCATATATATACATATACATATATATTCTTTAACAATTTGGAAAATTTTTGTTTTGCTGCCGTTGGCGAACGCGTTTTTTGCGCAACTGAAAATTTGTACAAAAATTGACTAAGCGTCCTGCTGCTGCTGGCTATCAGCGCGGCGCGGGGTGAGGGTGAACCGGACAGGACATTCAGCGTTTTGTTTGCTCGAGTGTCCTGCCAGCTCAAATTGCACAGAAAACAATAAGCAAAACAGAGTCACAAAACGGCAACCAATCGAAGGCAGTAAAAAAAAAGAGAAAAAAAATAATGAAAGAAATGTTGTTGAGCAATGCTGAAAGTAGTATTGGAAGGTATGGCAGGCAAATAGAGCTCATTAATCGGTTTAATGGCCCCAGGACTTGGTGTGCTCTGTTCATCGAACTTCAGCAGCACGCTAAAAAACAAAGAACAAACTCTTGCCAACTTTTGAGTTATGTATAAAGCACTCGGACTGAAAATATCTCTATGTGCATACATATATATAGCTATGTGAGTGTGTGTGCGTGTAATGTGGCCTCCGTTTTGCGGTTTTTGTGTTGGCCAAATTGACAACACACCTCAAAAGCATTACAACAACCAAGCCAATGTTTGAATGCGGGCGGGTTTGCTTGATTGTATTGTGCGGTTCCTGATGCCCGCCCAGCTGCCCGGCCGATTGGGGTGGCTTGGGTTGGCCTCCACTGGCGTTTTGTTTGTGGTTCGGGTTGCTCTGCTACCATTTGTATTTATTTCACTGCGTTTTCGTTGATTCGCGTCCCGCTCCGTTACCTCTGCCGTCATTTATGAAATGGCATTGAAACAGTTTGTTGTTTCTTTTTGCTTTTGCCGTTTCTCTTGCTGTTTCAATTTCAGTTTCAGTCTCACTGCCTTTTACTTTAAGCGACGTGTGTGTGTGTGTGTGTGTGTGTGTGTGTGTGTGTGTGTGTGTCTCAATGCTCTTATCTATCAAATTGGTCGTCGGCCAAGATTCCGACTCCTGCCCGCAGCTCGACGTGACCACAGCTGATATGGCTGTGGTCAGTCGGCGCTGAGCCTCGGAGCCTTTTACTCACTTAAGTATTTATAGCTTGAGGGTCAAATTAAGTTCTAAACAGACCTTTATTTCTGTACATTAATTTTTTTTTTATCTCTCTTACTGGGACAAGGTCTAAATAATGTAATTATCCAAGCTTTTTCAAGTTGGAGTTGCCTCGAATAGGACATGAGATTTAAGGCGTTCTTGGTGGAGGCTAATGTTAGCCTTGAATGGCAGAAAGTGTTGGAAAATGCTTTACTATTTTAACTATAATATTTTTACGGAATTTGCTTAAGCTTGAAGCTCAATTTAAGATGTAAAATTATATTAAAAATATAAATTTTAATTCACATAAAAATTTTATAAATTGTATTTAATATATTTCAAGATTCTAAAAGTTGTCGAACGAAATTTATTGATAGTTTATAATTCTATTATTTATATAAAAAGCATACTATATTATTATCTAACCTTTGCTATTTGTATACACTCATAAAAATCGTATTCCCTTTACATATTATTTAACCCATCTTGGCCTCTTTGCCAGCGTATGAAATTGTCGACTTTGTGTCGCACTCTCTGCGCGTTTCATCATTTTTATTTATGTAATTTGACACGTGCTAATAAAAATTTCTGTGGCCATACATAAATGGCAGTCAGCTGGCCAGCGAGCTCCCCGCATGGAGTAGGGCAGCATGATAGCTTCGAGCTGGGAGCGTGGTCGGCCGACGCGTCGGCTACGTGACAATGGAGGAAGTAATTAAAACGCGATTTACGGCAAGGTCAACTTTATGAAGGTCTGCAGTTCATTTGCATGGTAGACATGGGTTACGGACGCACACGAAAAGTAAAAAAAAAAAAGAAAGTAGAACTCGGGACTCGACCCGCTCTCCCTCAGACTCTCCCTCTCTCCTCCTCTCTCTTTCTCTCACACTCAAATTAAATTATGCGGGTGTAGCAAGTGATATTCGCACTGTCCCTCTACCTATGGCCCTTCCTCTCTCTCTGTCTCCCTCTCTCTCTGCTCAGTCATAAAATGTAGCATAGAGTTGCACTCCCACTCCCACTCTCTCTCGCACTCCCTTCCTTTCATTAAAACAGCTATCTTTCTCTCTGTCCCGCTCGCTCTTACAGCGCTGCCCGCTGCTTGGCAAGTGCCATTGTTTTATTGTTATTCATATTGCTGTTCCTGTTTGTTGCTGTTGTTGTTGTTGTTGTTTTGTGGTTGTCGCTCTCGATGGCGTCAATCAATTAGCGCAATTACTTAATTACGGCCCACATAATTGAATTGGCCGAGCGTCCTCAGAGTTATGACCGGGCCAAAATGAAAACGAAAATGAAAATGAAATTCATGCAACAAATGCGTGTGTGTGTGTGTGTGTCTGTGCTAGAGCATCGCAGCGCGTATCTCTCGTATCTCTGGCTATTTATCTCGCACTTCATTAACCAGCGCCTCTTGTATCTGTGGCATATTAAATTACGCATACGCCATGTGTGATTTATGTGATGTTAAGACTCGCTTCGATTGAATCGACGCGACGCCGAGCCGCACTTGTACTCACTTGTATCAGTTTCCTGCCATTCTCCAGATAGTTGGCGTCGCTGGCGCGTGGCTGCGTCGACTTCTGCTCGGCCAGGTCAATCGCCTCATCTCTGTTATCCTTGGCAAAGCCGACCTCATCGAACGGCAGCTCCCTTTGCCTGCTCACCTTAGGCTGGTGTTGATGGTGTTGGTGTTTGTGTTGGTGTTGGTGTCGGTACTTCATCTTCACCTCCTCCTCATCAACATCATCATCGTCTTCGTCGTCGTCGTCGTCATCGTCATCATCATCATCATAGTTTTTGCGCTGCCAGCTGCTGTTGTTGCTGCAGCTGCTGCGCGGATAGTGCGGCTGCTGCTCATCCGGCTCAGCGCCGTCGGTTGGACCCATGGGCAACGGCATTGCCGTTTGGTTGGCAATCAAATGCTTGCGCGGCAGACACACGCCGCCCTCCGCGCCCACAGCCCCCAGCGTCGGCTGAAATGGGGCGTAGAGGCCGCCGCTTACCTCCAGCTCCTCGTGCGCCGGATTGCAGCTGGAGGGCCCGAGCTGGGCGGGCGCCGAGGCGACGGGGCTGACAAAGCGTGTCGTGCGATACATGGGACGGGAGAGGCTGTAACCGCAAAAGATTATACAAATAAAACAGGGGGCGTGCCACAATCAAATAAACTTGATGCTGCCATTCGCACTCACTTGTAACCGTATTTGGGCGATTCGGTCTCCGGGCGGCGTCTGCTGGACATCATTGTGTTGACCCGATCTCCGCGGGCGGCTGCCATCATATAGGTCCACATTGCGGCTCATCCACGGCAGTGCTACGCTAAGCACATGATGCACGGTCCCGGGAAATAGAAAAGCAGCGTCAGCCAAAAGCGGAGCTGCAACGGCAAAGGGCAACACATTAAAGCACTTGGCGGGGCAATTGTGTTTGAAGTGTGGCAATCATATACTAGCCAGCTCATAAAAGTTACGTTTGTGGCCTATGGGCGGGGAAGGGGGCGTGGGCGTGGGCATGGGCGCTTGTGGTAATTAAGCAATTAAACGGGAGCTTAAGTCGCAGCGCCGCAAGGTATGCAACACGAAAATTGCAGATCCTGGGAGCAGCATCAGGAGCTCCCGGTGGCAAGTCGCCCGGGCGCCTTTTTGATGACTTCGTGTGGCCATAAAATCAGCATAGAACACCCACTCAGCTTACTTTTATGTGAGCATTTTATTTTGCTCGCTTTATAGTTCTCTGCGGCGACGGCGACGGCGACGGCGACTGCGACTTTGATTTCGGTTTTGGTTTTATTTCAAGTGCAGCTGCGCCACCCAAAGGCTTAAGCATATTTTTATTAGATGATCAGACAGTTATAAGCAGTTGAAGGACTTAGTATTTAAGGCGTTTCAATTACAAAACAAGAGGAAAAGAGCCTTGAGGTGGAGAGTATAAGACTTTGAGATATGCTGAGCTGTTGTTTAAGTAGTTGAAGGCTGCTAGAGTTGTAGAGATGTGTGTGTGTATATAGGTATGTATGTATGAGTGTATACACACTCACAGTGAAGAGTATCACACTGGGACTCCTTCTGCCAATGAGTGTCATGAGCTCGAGACTGTTCCAGAGCAGACGAGGCTACTAATCGACTTAGCGCTACTCGAGTGAGTTGCACGCTCCGGCTAGACTCGGATGAAGCTACACTTGTAATCACCGAAATGATAGCCAATGAAGACTGGCTGCTCGAGGCTGAAGAGCGAGCACGAGAAGGCGAGACACCAGAGGCGACAACAAAATGCAGAGTGCAGCGGGCTCTCAGTGAATAGTGAGAGGGGGAACAGTACCAGGAGGAGCACTGAGCAGAGGCTGAGTGAGCCGCAGGAAGAACTCGACGAAAGGATGCTAAACGCAAACACTTATCCCGGACATAAAAACCAGAGCTAAATCGTAAGTTAAATGAGGCTAATTTTCTTCTTTTATCCATCACAAGAGCTCTCTGGCCGCAGATGTGGTCGGAGCTGAGTCGTGTCGTCCTGTGAAGGGAGAAAGGCGGAGGATAGAAGAATTCCAGCATGGGAGGCAGTGCCGAGCTCTAACCGAAGCTAGGCAAACTTTATGTCGGCATCGAAAAATAAATGAAAAATGAATGCATAAAAAATGAAATATGAATTGAAATTTTATCCAACAGAACTTTGCGGCTGTCCACAGCTATGGCGTGCGTATAATCCAATTAAGCAGAGGGTATTTATGTTACAAAATTAATATAATGCAAACAATAAATACAAACACGCTCACACACACACACTTATATACACACATATGTGTGTACAAATGAATGCTTGAATTTCTTTGTAGTCTATGAATGAAAACATTTCATTTATTATAAGGCTGAGCTTTTTGGATTGCTGCAAGTTTTTAAACTGTATCCACATATATATTGGGTACTATACAATATATAAAATAATATGCAATTTATATATAAATAGATCAACTTTTATCAATCAACGCATTGAAGTTGAGGCATAGACAGACGTAGCTTGATTAAATGAACTCGATATGGATGTCAACAAGATATATACGTATATATACCCTATATAAACTATACACACTTTTCACTAACAGTTTGTTACACGCAGTGACCATAGAAACGGAATACCCTACTCATTTTTTTTGGGCACTGAGCATTAAAATATATGCGCGGCTATTTCTGAGAAAATTTCGTAGCATACTTTTCTGGGCAGGAATAATTGCATTTCAAGTTAACAGGAAAGCAAGCAAATGCTAATAACGTTTTATTGTATGCAAAGTTTACAAAAGCTTTCAAAGCGTTTAATTGAAATTTAAAGTATTTAGAGAAATGGGTTTTTTAATGGTTTAGCAAATTGTTTATTTTTTTTTCGAGATGATTTTGAAAGAAAGAAAAGTGAGAGTGAGCTAATCTATATAAATATAATCAAGTTAAACATTGTTATGAATGAATACAGACTCAAATTATTATAAATTATGTAGAATACAAGAACAAAAAGTATATATATCATATATGTATATCATCAAATATAGTGTTAAAGCCTGAAGCCAAGGAAGTTTTCTCATTAAGTGGAGTTAGAACTCAACTCAATTTACTCGACCTTCTCTATTATGTCAAATTTATGCATTTTCATATGAATATTTATGCCTTGACTGCACATGCTAAGCATATGTCACATCCGAATAAAACCTTAGCTAAGCTCTACGCATAAAAGGGAGCAAAATTATTGAAGTACAGTTCATGACCGCCGCTGGAGCGACTTTATCCAGTTGTCCACGAATGTGTATATAAATAATGTGCTTTAATCTAGCCGCAAGCAGGATAGACGACAAACTAATGAGGCGCAAATGATAAATACAAGCTGACAGCGCATTCCAGACAAACATAAGCAAAAGCAGAAGCAGAAGCTGAAGCAAAAAAAATAATAAAGAAAAGAAAACTCGACCAGCTGCAAATGTGAGTCACAGCCAAATTTTTTTGTACAAATTGAGCTAAAATGCAAATTGTATAAAATGTGTTTTTTTTTTCTATTTTTGCTCATCTCGCTTTCTGCTTTGGCAGATAATCAAAAAAACGTGCGCAAAAATTAAGCAAAATGCGAAATTTTCTTTACATAATTTCCACTTGAATAGCGCGTGGAGACTAAACAGGCGGCGAATGGAGGGCGAGCAGGAGTAGCTAAAGGAGCAGGAGTATCAACAGTAGCAGCACTGCAGCCAGTCGTTCTTTGTGTGTGTGCGTGTGTGTGTGTGTTCTTTTTCTTGCCTTTGTCTGGCATTTAACTGTCGCGTGATTTTATGTCATAGATTATCTGTGTAGCTGCACGCTTCAGCTCTTTCGCAGCATTCAATTTTAAGTGCAATTTTTGGTTTGCCAAAGAACACTCCAGTCCCATTCCAATCAGTGAGCAGAGAAACCTTTTGACTCTGGCTGCAGTTCTGATGAGTCAGTGGCAAAGTCTTTGACCGCATCAAAATCTGAAGAAACTTGTATAAAAAGTAGAAGTAAAGTAGGGTGTGAGTGCGTATGCGTGTGTGTGTGTGTGTGTGTGTGTGTAGGCACTCTGACATTCAAAAATGGGCTGGCTAGGTTTGAGATGGGCAGGATGTTAGACAAAGCAGCGCAGATCGATTTTTAGCTATAAAATCAAAGTAAATCCATTTATCAACTTCAGCAGCAAACAGTTTCGTGCAGATAACAGCAGAGAGAGCGAGAGAGAGAGAGGGAGAGAGATAGAGACTTGACTTTGATAGAATGCAGCAACGGCTACAACAACAGCAGCAGCAGCAGCAGCAGCAGCACGCACTTGACCAAGTTTTTAAGGCCAAGTGCCTTAGAGCCATTAAATACTTGTCGAGCAGCTTTAGACAAACAAATTGTTGAGGCCCATCGAGGCACGGCTCATAACACGCCCAATCAACCCAGCCGCAAAACGTAGCAATTAACGCTTGGGCAGCAGCCAGGACGCAATAAGGACTCACATGGCATCAGATTACACATCATCTGGCTGGTCTCTGCTGTGGCCCGCTGTGTTGTTGATGCTTTAGCCAAATCGTTTGACTCGACTTGGAATTGCTAACGAGCTATAAATGGGGGATGTGGTCTCTCCCTCTCTCTGCGTGTGTCTATGTGTGTGTGTGTGTGTGTGTGTGTGTTAAGTGTGTGTGTGAGCCTCATTTGTAATGATTAAGTTGCACAGCGAGCTTGTGGTGTTTATGCCCCAATGGAATCGTTTACACGCATGCCAGCAGCTTATGAAAGAAGAAGAAGAAGTAGCAACAGCAGCAGCAGCAGCAGCAACGAAAGTGAAAGATTAGCAGCAGCAGCTGATTTATATTCAATTGCTGCTTAAATAAAACATACACACAGAGAGATAGAGAGGGAGAGAGATGCATACATGAAATCAACGAAAAGTAAATAAACCGAACAGCAAATAATAATTAAACGAGCATATATAGTCTATATAGTATGTCTGACAAATATGGCTGGCGAAACTGGCTGGCCGAAAAAGGGCAGTTAAGTGCTTTATAACATGACGCTTAAGCACGATATCACGTATACGCCATGTGTGTGGCGTTCGAATAAAAAAAGGCCTGAGACGCTCGCCTGACAGCCAGACGGACAGACAGACAGACTGGCAGCAGGTGCTGCCGCTGCACAGGCGTCAGGAGCACAAAATATGCTAATGTCAATTATTTTGTGCGTAATTTGCTTTCATGCTTCAAGCACATATCAAATTTGCTCCCGCCTCCACTCCACACGCCCCTCCATAATGATGAATATTAATATTATTTTTCTTTTTGCTCGCATAACACTTAGCACAATGCGCTAATAATTTCATGAGCTCTCTAAGCGACACGAACAGCAATCGACAACTTATCTAATCTGTGCATACAGATTATATACATACATATACACATGCTTGTATACATGTATAAATATAAATGTGAATATCTATCTCTATCTATCTGTCGATATACATACTCCTGCTGACACCGGAAAGGTGAGACTGGCTTCAATTAGCATTCGTGCACGTAGACGCAATAACGCAAATGGATTTGGGTTTCATAAAAATACGTTATTTATGGAGTTTACTGCCGAGTGGGCGCCCCTTTTGGCAGGTTTAGTTTATTAATATGTTCGCTTATAGTTAACAATTGCGATTGGCATTCAAATCAGCTGCTAAAAGGACACGCCACTCGGCGCACAGGATCGCTGCCATCGGACAGGTGGTGATAGCCAGAATGTGAATGTGGTTCTGGGGCTTACCTAAGGCTATGTGCTTCCTCTTTGAGTTGAGTTGTATTAATCCGGCAAAACTGTCAGGCAGCGTGTAATCCTATTAAATGTGGCTACGCTAGCTGCTGCCTGCTGGCTCCTATCTCCCGTCTCCTGGAGGCTATACCAATGCCACCTCACTCTCACTCGCGCTCCCTCTGAATCTTTCGCTCTTTCTCACTCTTGATTTTTTTCTTTCTTTAGTATTTGAATTTTTTCACTTTTTTACACAATTATTTAAATGCGTGCAGTAATTTCAAATGAAATTTGAATATGTATTTTTCTTATTGTGCCGCGCATATTTTTACAAACACTCACACACACAGAGAGACGGCATACACACGCACATTCAGCGAGTGACAGAGGGCTGTGAATTAACAGCGAAAATGGCGTTGATTTTTGCACTTTAATTGAATAAAAATTCAAATGTTGATGCTGTGTATCAAAATAACGCGCGCGCCAACTAACAGATACACGCACACACACACACTGTCAAACGCAAAAAGGACGAATAACGGAACAGCAGCGGCAGAAGCAGCAGCAGAGAAACGTTGCGCGCCGTGTACGTTCGCATGCCTGGCTAACGGCGCAATGAGCGCCTGTGGGAGAACACAGAACCAAAGGCGAATGCAAATGGCAATAGCAGCAGCAGACGCAGCAGCAGCAGCAGCAGCAGCAGCAGTTACTGTGGCAGCGGCAGCGTTCGCAGCAGCAGCAGCAGCCGAGCCAAGCCGATAGCAGACGCTGCGAGAGCAGCTTAAGTGCGTGTGTATGTATGTGTGTATGCGTGCTTTTCATTCATGCTTAGCAAGAGCTTTTAGTGCGAAAGCTTTGCGCGCATAATATAAAACCTGTTGCTTGCTTTTCTGCTACCGTTGTTGTTGTTGTTGTTGCTGCCAATTGTGATTTTTGCCAGTGTTGCCATACATACGTCTAGCAGCTGTTGCCAGGCGGCGTGCGAAATGGCAACATAAATTAATTAAATTGATGTTTAAGCAATGGCATGCTGTTGTTTTTATTGTGGTTGTTATTGTTATTGCTGAGCCTGGTTTATTAACCCGCCTACAGCGCGATTTGCCTGACACATTGACAAATTGCTGCAAATCCAAATATGAGATAAAGAATCCTGGAGACTGAACTTGATTAATGTCGGTCTGGCTGCCTGTCTACGAGCTGTCCCCGCCAGCCGTGGCTTTGGCACAGTTCACTTGATTTGATCGAAACATGTCGCCCGGCCATGCTCAATAGCTCAATTAGTTGACAAACCTACTTCTTCTTCTGTCTACTAGACTTGTTTGTCTAATTGAATAAACATTTGCATTTACATGTTGGGGGTCTGGGCTCAAACATCTTTGAAGTTCATGTTCAGCATTTTTGCACCTGCTGCTGCTGCTGCTGCTGCTGCTGCTGCTGCTACGTACGTGTTCGATTCGCTTTATAGTCGCATGCACATATGATGATTATTGCTTTTTTGTCTCATCATGTACGACATACGACATGCTGACAAAGGCATGGCAAGACCAAGACCAAGACCAAAACGAAGAATAAGCCAATGCTCATATGTTCACTGTCGCAAAGTTCAAATAGTTCAAGTCGAAAGTTCAGTCACCAACCCAGAAGCCAAAATCCAACAAGTGGTTAGTTATATATATATACATAAATGTATGTGTATATATGATACATGTATAATATATATACTTTTACTTGAATAGTCAGAGACACACGCCGAGAAAGAGAGAGAGAGAGACGATAAGCACTGTGCCTCTGGAGCTGTGCATAAATTTAATTTTTATGGCGCGCCTAAAAGCATGCAATGAATTACTCACATGTGTGTGTGGTGTGTTTGCTTGTGCGTACGTGTATAAGTAGTCACAATGGGCTCTCGCACAATTCACAATTTGAGTAATTTGTTATTCAAACACATTGCGAATCGATTATACGCTTGGCATGCTCCCTCCAATCGAGCAAATATGTTGATTGACTTTTGTCAAGGCTTACGGCTTTTGTGTGTGTGTACGTGAGCTTTTGTCGCCGTGCAAAAGGCAAATCTGTCAAAGTGTGTGTGTCGTGTGTGCATGTGTGGAAATGCCAACGCAAATATCAATGAGGAAATGCGGGTAGTCAGGCGGACCACCTTTCACTTTCAACCTAAAGCAAGTCATGAAAGTGCGTATGTAATGCTTGGCTGACTTTATGAGCCCGTGTGTGCGCGTGTGTATGTGGGTGTGTGAATGTGTGATAACGAAGCATTTGCTGCTCATTGAAAAGCTCATTATCACACTCACACACACATGCAGCAGCAGCGCTCTGCCGAAGGCTACACTTTTGTCATAGTAGAAGAAACTTTATCAAAATGGGTTAAGGTTCAGCTGATGGGCACAATTCCAACTTGAACTATAGATATATAAATATATCTAGCTGGCAGCTGCTGGCCCAAGCATCTCAATGTCAGGCCATAGCCTTTACCTGGCAGCAACTTGTTGAATTGAATTGATTGCCGCATTGAAATTTAATTGCAATTGCACTTGGAGCACCGTTTGAATGTTAAGCGCGCGCAAGGACATTAATTAAGAGCGTTGAGCGGGCGAGCAGCTGAGCAGCCCCACTGAAGTGGCTCTGATTGCGTTGGCTGGCAGCAGCAACGACAGCAGCAACGATAGCAGCAACAGTTGAGCCAGCTAAACGATGGCCTGCATATTAATTAGAATGCTGAAAGGAAACGAATAAAATAACGTCCCATTGCGTTGCCATGGCGCATATGCAAATATTTGGCGCATGCCAGATGCTTTATCCACTGCATGAAAATAAACTGCACTCCATAAATACACAAATAAACGAAGTCTTGCAATAGAATATATGAATGCCGTTCGCTCTCCTTCTTTCGCTTCCACCCCCCACCCCTTACTTGTTCTCTCTGTGTGTATTGTGCGGCCCTGTCAAAAGGTTAAAGTTAAGCATGACAAATTGCGCGGCACTGGGGCGTATACTTCATATTGACAGCATTATGGATAAAGCACACATATATGCATATATATGTGTATATATATATATATATGCGTGTATTGGCATTACATTTGTCATGGCTCAACGAGCTCGGCAAATCCACATAATTGCTGTCATGCCACGCCATCTAGCTCCGGCCGTAGTCGTCGACCAATTACTGCGAATCAACTTGAATCGGTGAAATTTTTTAATCTGCTGCAAAAGTTGATGAATGACAATTTATTATTAGATCAGCTATAACTGCTATCTGTTTTATGAATATAAAATTTCGCTGTTTATCTTTCTGTTTGACGTGAAATTTGATATACGAGCTATACCCAGGCGAAGTGTGACATCATTTTAGAGGTTCTGGAATTTCGATTATATAATCAACTATATCAGCCCCATTTCTCATGGCTTATTCAAAACAAAGACAATATGAATTCATTGTGCTTGCACTTAATTTCAACTACAATAATTGCCATTTCAATTTTAAACAAATAGTTTACTTTATTATTTTCAATAACTTACGTTGCTGATTTAAGATTATGGAAACAGTTGTTTGGACTGATTATAAATAGGTATATGTATATATATATGTGGGTAATATATTACAACTACAATATTTCAATAAACAAATATTATTTGGACTCTTAACAATATTTGTAATTGAAATTGCCTTCCTATTATTTTTGAATTGACTTGAGATGCTGCTGCAGCTGCTCGCAACGCTGGCACTCTCTGGTGAGCTGCTTCACAGCCGTTGCGTATTGGCGCTGCAGTTCGAGCAGGCCGAGCAGCTCCTCGTTGAGCTCGTCGCGTCGCATGCGCTCCTCGTTGTACTTGTGACGCACCTTGTCCTGGGCGCTCTTCACACCGTCGACAATCGTCTCAAATTGCCGTATGAAGTCCTCGCGGCCGTGCGGACTGAGCATGCCCTCGTTGTAGGCCTCGCAAATGGAGTTGAGCAGCGATAGCTCCTTTTCGAGATAGCGCTTCTTGTCGTTCAGTGTGTTGTAGAGTGTATAATATTGCTTAGTCTCTAAATGTTTGGCACTCATCTCGTTGTACAGCTCGTGGAAGCGTCTCTGGTACTGCGCCAGCTCTGTGCGATCGGGTATTGCATCTAATTTGCGTTCAATGGCCACAATGCCACGATTGCGCTTGGCTAAGAGCAATCGCAGCTCCTGCAAGCGCTGCTGCTCGCCCTCTATTGCCGCCGCCTGCGCCTCCGCATCCTGTGCATTAAAGGCCTCCAATTCGCTGTAAAGGATATATAGTTAGTATTCCCTCGCATCTATAACTTGATTGCCTTACTCAATTTGCTGCTGCAAGTTGGCCAGATCCGTTCGACAGCTTTCCTTGAACTCCGACTCACTTTTCTTTAGCTCATCATGCTGCTGCAGCAAACCGCGCACCTTCTCCAGCAAACTGCAAGTATATATAAATTAGAAATATAAATTACTAAGATCATATCGAAACTTACTCCGTGTCTGCATTCGCTTCCGTTTGCTTGTATGCATCCAGTTGTGCCTTGAGCGTTTGCAGCTTTTGTTCGTGCTGCTCAGTTTGTTTCTTTTGTGCTTCCATCGTCTCTTCCAGCTGCTCGTTGTCTTTCTTGTAGCGTTTGATCTTGTGCTCCAGCGCTATTTTGGCCGCCTCCAAGCGTTTCTGTTGATTCTGCGATTTTAGCTCTTGTGCATCTGTTTCCATTTCCATCTTAAATTCCGCATAATGCTGTTGCAGTGCGCTACGAGCCACGGGATCTAGATCGATGCGTTTTGTGGATTCCTTTGTGATAGCGAGCTGCTGCAGCTTTCTCTCCAGCTCGGGCTACAATGCACAATTACATACAAAATAATATTTATTGGAAATCGGCAGATGAACCATTCATGTTTAACCTCCGTTTCCATTTGGTCTGCATTTGAGCCCATTTTCTGATCGTCGTACTCCATCAAAGTGAGACGCACACGCAACGCATCATCATCGGTATTTGCCTCCTGGCGCTCGTATTGCCTTTTGGGACTGTAAAGCTCCTGCAACAGTTGAAATTACATTAAATTTATAGTAAATTTGAGAAAACTGCACATACCTGTATTGCTTTGATGTTAACGGCGGCATAACGTATTTTTGTTAGATTATCTTTATCGCTTTTATACTGATAGTCGTTGTGGAATTGGCCAATTGCGAATCTCTTCAGGCGCTGGCCACGCTCCTCACGATTTTCCACCTGCAAATACGAAAAAGTATGCTTTATAAAGAAAACTTTACTATTTATGCGTGCGCTTGATTGTATACTACATGCTGCCGTCCTCCTCGATTCTCAAAAATTCAAGTAAGTAGCAGCTCTGTTCGACGAATATAAGTGTTTTTTCAAGTGTAGTGGTGCGGTACATCTCTGAGTGAATGCATACATGTGTATGAGGGTACATTTACGCTCCCTGCTTGCATACTTATACACAGCTGCGCTGTATGGCTACAGCCGAGCATAGCTACTTACAGAGGTCTTTACAAGCCATTGAATAACTGGATGTATTGCTAGAAACTCCAAGCCCTGCACCTGATGCGGTTCCAAGCTATGCGGGCACTTCATGTCAATCAGAACAGCGACAATCTTCTCCACAAGCGCGCTGTAAATGGGAATCAATTAAGATATGTACATGCATATATTAAATGGCTGCTCTAACATCTTTTGCCCAATCGTTAGATTTTCATGGAAGAGTAGGTCGACGTCAACATCGTAATCACAGCACTCAATGCACCAGGTCATCCCGCCCACAACTTTGTCGAAGGCGGATAAACCCTTGATGCGTGCTCTGTAATAGCCGGCAGCGACAAGCATATCAAATGTGTCCAACTCTTTGGCGGCAGCATCTGAATCCTCGCGGCGTTCCACCTACAAAAAGAAAACCTTGCTATTGGATTTGTTTACACACAAAAAGTGTTAATAGCCACCTGAATTTCGCGGCCCTCCGCATCGTAGCGCGTTGCCAACTTGACGTTGGGCAAGATCTTGGAGAACACATCGCGATTAGCCATGTACAATAATAATTACATACTATTTTAAATAAATAAAAACCGGAAAAAGGCAGAAATGCCCATTGTCTTGCAGTGAGCCACAAATATAGAATAAAACTATAAAGAAGTGTGTGAACACTGATCAAACCCGAAGTTATCGTTGGTATTTTATTATCGATTTCTTTTATATTTACTCGTTTTAAAGTGTGTACGCACTGAAAGCCGGCGCACGCGAGTTTTGATTAAAATGCATTACTACGTTTGCCTGCATCAAGAAGGCATTAACAGCATACCTAAATTAATACAAAAAGCTCATGCAAATAATTATAATGTGGTTGTCATACCGGTTAACGCAAATATGCTGCCCATGGATCCACAAGAAACGGATCCCACATATCCGGCCACTGTATTGAGTGCTGTCGAATGGAGCTCCAAGGTGATATTCCAGGTATCCGATGTGGATGTGGACTCGCCCAACGCAAAGTTACGTGAATATTCGAAAGCTATGCTGATGCGCGATGTCACCTGGGCAGAGCACTTGCAAATTAATGGGAGCATAATGGTGCGTCTTCGAGGACCCGAGAATAACAATTTGGCGGAGATTATTAAGTCAAGAACGAAAGGTTTGCTTGCTCGTGATGTTAAATATATTTCCTACAATGAATATGTTTTTAAATTTCAGGCAACTGGTTTATAAATGTGCCCATTACTAATCCTGAATTGGCCAGCTTTGAGCATCGAAAAGATGCCACAGAATCAGAGATCGAAGAGGCTCAACAGGTGGATCCATGGAGTTGGTGGAACGAGCTACGTTTTGCGACTAAGCACAATGCCAGGGCGAAAGTTGTGGTGGAGCTGAGCGACTCGGATCGGCCCAGTCGTGAGTGCGTACGCCGTTGGCTGGGTGAGCCCATTGAAGCCATCATTATTCCATCCAGTTTATTTGTGCTTAATCGCTCCAATTATTATGTGCTCCAGAAGGAGTGGCAAACGATTGTGGGTCACTTTATTTCTGTGAGAGCCAACATTATTATCTCCGCGAAAACCAATGATAAAGCGATAAGTCAATATGCAGAATATGCTAAGAAACTCATCAGCGATCATGGAGATACGCACACCCTCAACAGGCAAATATACAGATCTATTCACTTTGCTGTTTACTATAATACATTCATCCACATTCTAGCTATGAAAACATGTTGGAAATACCGCTACAGCCGCTGTTCGACAACCTGGATGGCGACACCTATGAAATATTCGAAACCGATCCAGTCAAGTATAAGCTTTACCAGGAAGCCGTACAGCAAGTGCTTTTAGATCGCGTTAGCGAAGCGGAGGCTAAACGTAAATTGGTTAGCAAACAAAACTTTTGCCATAAACCAAATTAACTTACATATATACATTTCTTTTACAGACCGTCGTTATGGTTCTGGGAGGTGGTCGTGGTCCTTTAGCACGTGCAGTATTAAATGCTGCAGAGATAACGAAACGGAAAGTGCGCGTCTATATTATAGAAAAGAATCCTAATGCCATACGCACACTGTCCAACGTGGTGAAGACGTTGTGGTCAAAGAAGGGTAACAAATGAGCTTCATAGCCCTTACATCATATACTAACATTTTGTTTCACAGACGTTCATATATTCTCCAAGGATATGCGTGATTTTTCGCCTCCTGAATTGGCCGACGTGCTTGTTTCTGAGCTGCTGGGTTCATTTGGTGATAACGAGCTCTCACCCGAGTGCCTGGATGGCGCCTTGAAGCTACTCAAGCCGGATGGCGTGAGCATACCCTGTAAATCAACATCGTATATTAATCCCATTATGTCTGCTGTGCTGCATAATAATGTTAGCCAACTGACCTTGACTGTGCAGGCCTTCCACTACGGCTATGTGGTGCTGCTCAAGAACATTTACCACATTGATGAGCCGCAAGCATTGTTCGAATTCACGCATCCCAATCGAGCTGCGGTCATTGATAATACGCGTCACAAAAAGGTGTCCTTCACTGCTCAAATGGATTGTGTGCTGCATGGCATTGGCGGCTACTTTGATACTGTATTGTATAAAGATATAATCCTAAGCATAAATCCATTAACGCATACGCAAGGCATGTTCTCCTGGTTTCCCATGTTCTTTCCAACGGTAAGTGGGAGTAGCTCACTTAAATTTGCACTGTGCCTGAATTCAATTTTATTTTGCAGCATCCGCTTACTATTAAGGCAGGCGACACAATATCCATCAAGTTCTGGCGCCGCGTGGACGCCGAGAAGGTCTGGTACGAATGGCAGGTTTGCGAACCCAAAGAAAGCGAGCTACACAATCCGGATGGCGTGGGCTATAATATGCGTTTATAAACTTAACTGCAATATTGTATTAAGTGGGCACTTATACAAAACGGGGGTTAGCTTTGTCTATAAATCCATTTTGTACAACAAATATATTCGATGTATAAAAAAAACAAATGTAGAAAACATGAAATGACAGAATTTCATTAAAAAATGTCCACTTCTGCCTGGATCCATCCACCTCCAATGGATAATTTAACATCTAAACCCTTATGATACAGCTGTTCCCCATTTTCTGCAGCCTTCAACCATCTAGACAGCAAGGCCGATTCCAACTTAGACATACAATAAGGATGATATTTTACAACATTATAGTATCTTTATTACACACAAACTGTAACGAAAAACGAGAACGAAACCAAAAATGAGGTGGAAAAACACTCAAGCATAAATTGTCTGCGACTTTTATTTAAGTTTATATTTGAAAAGTTTATAAATATGCTTATACTTATTTATGTGTCCTTAAATATCTGTGGGGTTCTCTTCTTGTTGTAAAATTTAGTTAATAATTTTCTCTTTTTTACGTTCCTCTCATTTATTTAATTACTTTTATTTATATATAAAGCGCTGCACATGATCGCAGAACGACATTCTTTAAGCGAAGGCAATTATTTTACGGTTAGGTTATAATAGATTAAAGCGGAGCTAAACTGAATCATTGCGGAAACTGGGCGGCGATTTGGATGTCAGGAGTTAGGAGTTAACAGCGCCAACCTGAGCCAATGTGGCACCGCCGGCGGCACCGCTGCCACCACCGCCGCGTATTGCAATCGCACCCTGGCCAGCCCTGATGGGCTTGGCAATTTGTGCCTGTGGTCCTCGTCGTCCCAAATGCTTTTGTCGCACCGCCTCCTTGATGCGATCCACCTCGTACTGATAGCGTTTGCGATCCCGCATCGCACCCTCCTTGGCCTCTTTCAGCGCCGTCTCCAGTGCCTTCACACGTTCCATTGTTGTGCGCAAACGCTTCTCCAGCTTGGGCAGCTCGCAGCGCAGATCGGCATTGTCTCTAACCAGTTGCTTGTGCACCTTGGTCAGCTGATCGAGATTGTTCTCCAGGAAGGAGATCTTTTGCTTTTGCGCCAATGAGCCACCGTCCTCTTCGCTCTCCTCGTTCACCACATTCTTGCGAATGCGTTGCTACGATTAAAATTACAAAGATTAATTAATGTGCACAAAGTGAAATAGATGGATGTGATCCTACCTGTAGATCCTGTACGAAGAGTTTGCGTAGATTGTGCAACGTTTGCAGCTCCTTGGCGACGGTGTCCTCCAGACCCTTGAGGTCCTTGCGCGCCTGTTCGCGTCGCTCGTTGGTTAAAATAATGTCCTGCAATTTGTTCGATTTTTCCGCCTCCTCCTGCTTGAGCTTCTCATAGTCGACGGTCATCTGCTGATGCGCCAGCAACAGCTTCTGGTGCACATCCTTCATCTCGTTCATTTCGTGCTGCTTGGCGGTAATCTCGTCGCGCAACTCGGACACCTGTTTAGTGTGCGCCTCGCGCAGCTCATCCATTTGCGAATCGAACATGGAGCGCAGCTCCTCGGCGCGTTGCTTCTCCTCTGCATTCACTGCGGACACATGCTCAGCCGCCTTTAGCTTGGCGCACTCTTCACGCAGCGAATCGATCTGCTCCTCGAGATTACGCTTCTTGTTCTCGGCCTCGCGCATCGATTCCTGCAGCGACTTCATTCGCGCCTCATGCTGCGAGATGAGCAAGCGATACTCGCCAAGATCCTTTTCGTACTCGGAGATCTTTTTGTTGGAGTCCACCTGTTGGGTCTCCATGTTGGCGCAACGCTGCGCAATGTTCTTTGCCTCCGTTTTCATTTTGCTAATGTACAGACGCGCCATGGTGAAGTCCTCCTCCACCTTGGTGGCATCGGTGCCAGCTAGAGCACTCATCTTGAGATCGATTGCGGAATCGCCAGGCGCTATGGCCTGACCAACCTCACCCAGATCGCGCAGTAGATTGGTTAGCATTTCGGTGATTCGTTTCTTTTGGTGTGTGGACATGTCCTTCAGCTGCTGCAGCTCCGTTGATGTGGAATTTAATTGAGATTTACTTTGCTGCAGTTCTTCGTTGAGGGCATCGATATCCTTGTTCTTGTTGTCGATTTCCTGCGATTTCTGATCATAGTTGACGGCCAGCTCCTCCAATGCCTGTAGCACCTCCTTGACCTCCTCCTTGGCCGATTCGTTCTCCTGCTGTATGCGCGCCATCTCCGATTGCAGCGCCTCGTACTCACGTCGCGCATTCGCAATCAGCTCCTCCTGCTCCATCACCTGTTCCTTCAGCTGCTCTGCATACTGGCTCTGCTGATTGATTTCCTCATCCTTATCATCCAGCTGCTGATAGAGACGCTCACACTCAGCGGCCAAACGGGCACGTTCATCCGCTGCCACCGACGAGGACATATTGGCAATGGCCGTGCGTTGGGCAGCGGCCGCGGCCGCTGCTGCTGCACCAGCTGCTTGTGCAGCGGCCTCCACATCGAGATTGGGCGTGCTGGCCTCCATGAGATCCTCCATGTTGATTTGCTCCTCCGCCTTGACCGTTTCACCTGCACGCCAACGCGCCAGTTCGAGTTCCAGCTTCTCCACCTTGCCCTTGAGACGTCCGTTCTTCTCCTTCTCCTTTTCGTAGCGACGCTTCCATTCCTCGGCGGTCAACTCCTCGTTGACACAAACCACATTCTTCACTGTCTTGGCGCGGCGACCAAAGTCCAACGTTGACTTTGTTTCCGATTCATTGAAGCTAGCCGGCGAGCAACAGATGACAATTGTTGTGCGTGCATTGCCACCGAGCGACTCCTGCAGGATACGCGTCAGCTTGGAGTCACGATACGGTATGTGCGTTTTGTTGCCATCCGCCAGCGCTGAGATGACGTTGCCCAGTGCCGATAGCGACTTGTTAATGTTCTTTGCCTCATCCAGAACTGTGCCCTCGGCGCCTGTTTTCGAGACCTTTTCGGAACCAGCCAAATCCACCAAATACAGCTTGCCGGATAATTTCTTTTGATTCTCCAGATTCTCCTGCTTGACATTAATAAGGAACACCGAATGCGAACGGGACGAGTGCTCGTTCATGTCTAAAATGAATATGAATATAGATTCGATTAAATTGAACTGATTTAGTTCAAATGGTTTGCTTACTTGTCACGGCAATGTGGCGATTAGATTTGCCCTCCTCGATCACCTCGAACACATCCTCGGGCGAGGAAACAAAACGCTCCGTGGCACCCTTGACGAAGGGCACACGATTTTTGTCCTCATGCACGCTCAAGTTCACCTTAGATACATCGAGCAAATCCCTAATCTTGTCCATGTAGATCTCATAGTACGAGACCTTAATGTGAAACTCCAGATTCTCTTCCATTGCGTAGATGTGATTGAAAATGTCATTGACAATGCGTGGAATGATACCCTGTTTCACCGAATCACCGATGACACCCTCCATTGTGTGCGTCTTGCCGGAGGATGTTTGACCATAGGCAAATATGGTTCCATTGTAGCCAGCGAGCACGTCCGTGACGATCGATTTGGCCGCCTCATTGTACACCTTCTCCTGGGATGCGTTCGGCTTGAAGACTTTGTCAAACAGATAGACCTTACCCTATAAGAAGAAAAGAAGCGAAGGAAACACGAGTCTTGTAGCATAGTGTGTATTTTATTTTTTTTTTAATTGTATCTACCACAACATGTGCTAGTAGTAGTTCCAAGCCCCTTCTTGCTTTCCCCAAAATAAAAGCTGCTTTCAAATCATTTTCAACGCATCACGGCTCGTAATTATATGATGAGCAAAGAGGCAGAAGCACAACAAATGAGTGGAACTTGAAAATTAATGGATAACCGAGCAGTAGTGTAAAAGAAAAAGCTGAAAGAGAGCAGTCAGTACGGCGTGTATAGAGATATGAATAATAGCAAAAATGCTAACGCGAAGTAGACGACTAGTAAATGCTCTACAAACGCGCATTGGCGAGGTTTAATACGGGGCAAGACTAAATACATTTATATAAAACTTATTTGTTTAATTTTCATACATATAAATATTATTTATATTAATAAATTATAATAAATATTTAAAATTTAATTTCTCACGCTTACTTTTTATATTTAATTATAAATTTAATTATTGGCATTTTATTATTTTTTTATCTTCACTCATTCTTTGTGGTTTATTATTATTGTTTGTATTATTCTTTATTCAATATTCCTTTCATTTTTCATAGCCTTTTAGTTAAACTGTTTTTTGCAGCTGTTCACTAATTTCATTCTAAATCCAATCAACTTTTTTTTGCATGTAATACGATGCCAGTTAGTCAGTGTCTAAGCAAATATTTACCGGGAAACGCAAAGCAATACAAATGCGTGGAATATACATCATAGATTAATGACAAACACACATACATATGTATGTATATGTAGAAAATCTCTAGCAATGAGTAAGAATGACTAAAATTTAGTGCACAAAATGATTTGAACAGCTGATTAACTCTTGCTGCTTGGTGGTAAGGGCCATACAAACACACACACACACACAAACAGGCGCACATAGGTAGATATACATATATTTATATACATTTATATATATAAGTACAACTAACTTTATCATGGCGGCCATAACTTGAAGACAGCTGAACTTTTGGGGCATTAATAATATTCAGTAAAATCGAAAACATCTATATTCATGTTTTTGTTTCTTTTTGCCGACTTGCGTGGCATGACTCACTCGACGGGCAGCAGCTGGTGGCAAGTAGCAAACATTCGAGGGCGATGTTTTGTTTTGGGGCCAAAGCTAACTGAACGAATACACACACACACACATGCAAGCAATCCCACATGCACACACATACACACTAGCGCAGGTATATAGAGTACCTACCTAGTTTTATGTTTGCTAACTGAAGTTGGGCGACCAGGCAGAGTGTGTATGTATGTATATGTGTACCCATGCATATATATTGCCATATCAAGTCAAATGGCAATGCAAATTCAAAATACAAGAAAAAAAATCAACATTCCCGGCAAAATGCTAGTGGGTGGCACTTGTCACTCACACACACACACATGTCAGGTTGCCACCGTGCGTGGAAAATCAATTGAGCGCCTGCAATTTCGGACACTAAGTGGCAATTACGGTAACAGTTTCTTTTTAAGAGATTTGCCAACAAAAATGAAAAAATTGCACAAGGCACGCGCAAAAATTTGGAGCGCTAATTAGTTATAATACATAAGCAGACCAGCAAATATATGTATATATGTACATATACATATACATAAATGTTACTCTCTTTCACTTACTACATACATATGTATTTATGTGTGCGTGCCTGTGTATGTGTGTGTGTAATTGTGGCGGTAAGGAAAGGCTAATGGACTGCGCTAATGTTAGACAATGTTCGGCATGACGTCACCGCCACAGAACCGCAACGGCACGCAGAAATATGTGTATATAACAATAAAAAAGTATGCACGTGTGTGTGCGTGTGTGTGTTTGTGGTTTAATTGAATTGCTTATTAATATTTGTTTAATTACCGCTATGGATATGCAATTCTCCTCCGCATTGTTTGGAAACCGAACAACAAACTTCGAGCCGGCGCGCTCCTCGCTGTCATTCAGTGGCCGAAAACGACAAACGACTTTAATGCTGTCCTCAGCGGGTATTTCACGTTCCGCAGACATTTCAATGCAATTCCGTCACCCACACACTTGATAGCTGTTATTCTTGTAGTTGCAGCTAAAATATTTGCTGTTTTTCCAGCCAAGTTAATTCAACTTGGAGTAGATGCGTCGCAATTTTAGTAGTACGTCAATTTTGACGTTCAGTGTTATTAATCGATGTAATTAATAATATGAACATTCAAAGTAAGCACTGAAACTACGACGACTATGACGAAGTCACAGGCACTGATTGTGACTTCGATGTACCGTCACACCGTTCTCCGTTTTATTTTCTTTTTTCGCTAGCTGCTTGTTCTTGCTTGTTCTCGCAGCGAAATTGGGGCTCGAAATGCAGAGAAAATTTTTTTGTGGTTATACCAGACAGTAGTCACAATCTCACACAATCAATCGGATGCAAATGTTGTTGTTATTACTGCTGTTACTGTAACTGCAGCGGCCCGTTTTTGATAATAAGCTCGCTTGTTTGGTGGCCCGGAATGTTTTGCAGCCCGTTAAATGCACTCTCATGCGTTGTGCTGTTAAATTTGTTCCACTTAAATTGTATTTCTTTTGCTTCAATATCACGTTGAATAAAAAACTATTTGTTGGATAGACGTTCGACAGATTGTGGCGGTCGGCTGATATGCTTTCGATAGATTGGCATATCAGTTCGATAAATATAAGTAATGCATTTTTATTCATTTTGTTAACAGAAATATGTTCACCTTTCATAAAATATTTATGCCTAAATTATTAAGTGTTCCTCTTGTCAATAAAAATGGATTTTCACTTGTTAATGCTGTTTCATTAAATGAATGTATGTCGCTAAATATCGATTGCCGATCCTATGAACTTTTCCAACACTTACTTACCTCTTATTTGAATTATCTGCCAACAAGGCTTGGCGACTTTCAAAAAATTTTAATTTGTTTATTTTTTGACGTGTTCACTACATACTACATTTGGCATACAAAACTACAAAATTTGAAATTGTTCAATACGTAATAGACCAACTGACATAGCCTAAGAAGGAACAATGCCATGGTAGATTGCTAGTGACAACGGTTGGCTAGTTGACAAAATTTTGGTTTAACATGGGGGCCACCGGTCAAAAGCGTAAATGCAGTTTAAAGAATATTTGCAAATTAATACGTCTTTATCGAGCCAATGATTGCCTATGGAATCCCAAATCGTCCAGCTTTCGCAATCTGGAGATGAAAGAGAGAGCTTGGCAACGCATTTCCCATTTATTCAATAACGGACTAAGCGTCGATGCAGTTAAATTGCAAATATTATCATTACGTTATTATTTTGCAACTGAAATGTTGGCCATCAAACGTTGCAAATTGGGAGGATACCCGCATGTACCGAAGCAACCTTATTTCAAAGAACTGCAGTTTCTCAAGGACGCGATAGAGCCCAGTGTTAGTGCTCAGATAATTGAGGTATGTAATCTGATTTTCTATGCGGTACACTTAAAAATATTTTATTTATATTTTAGTCAGAGGCACAGGATCAAATCAATTGTATTGTTGAGGATGCCTTTCTGTTGAGCAACAGCGAGAACAGCATTCACAACGACCAAATTGATTTTCAGATCCCGTCATCGAATGAATATACCTTTACAAATACTGAGCTACAATCGCACGAATCAGAACCCAGGCAGTTACCTTTGCCGCAGTACGATATGGGTGCAACGATACTGCTGCCAATACGTTGTGAATCGGGCTGCGATCGTTGGCATCAGGCAAGCTACTATGAGGATGAAGATGAAGGCTACGTAAGACGACCGAGTGGATCAGCAAATCCAAACGAGCAGAATCATAATTTCAGCTATTACAGCCGTAAAACTGCCGACAACGAATATTGCAGTCGAGATTATAATAGCCAATGGGCTCTGGCGTATCCACCCCAAGTGCTTACCGATTATGGTAACACCTTAAAAACGAATATGTATGCCGAAGTTACCTATCCGAGATGCGCCTGTGCACCCAAGAAAAAAGTGCTCACGGGTCGATACAAACCCAAGTCGAAATTAACAGACTCGTATTACGATGGTGAGGACTTTAAAAAATTTGTGGAACCCAATACGCAAAGCCTGCAGTTTAGATGTTCTAATCATGCCAACTATAATACTTCAAGTGATTATCATCATGATAGATGCTATCGCAATGTCAGCCGGCACACATCGGGTGATGAACAGACAACGCCATATAATAAGTGTGTTGGTGTCAATTGTAACATCAATCATGGAACTTATGCGCCACAGGAGGTTGATTCGGCTGGTTATGGAGCTTATCCGCAGAAAGATTATGGAGCCGTTTGTGGCTATAATAGAAATAACCGACAAATGTCAGACAAGGCGAATGATCCATTGGCGGACGATGAACCGGAATCTTTTGTAGGAATATGCAATGAAAGCAATTGCCCTAAATCACAATTCTATAAGCAGGCCGCCAAAAGCTATGAAAATAATGATTATCAAATGAAACATAGGCCCTGTGACGACAATCCTGATTATGGCGACGAACAATATTGCAGAAATAATCCAGAAATGAAAGATCGTGAGTGTGAGCCGACTGGAAAATGTAGGCCTAGAATTACATCAGCAACTGACTCGACAGGGCAAACCTCATCTAATCGTCCAGCAAATCAGTATTCAAGGAAAAAATACTGTACGAATGACAAAGAGAGACTGAGGAGTCTTAATAATGAGAACGTGATATTCTGTCCGTTAGCAAAACAGCTACAAGCTGAAAACGACGAATCTTATAGGGCAGTGCAACAAACTAGAGAACAGGACTTTGACGCTAATCAAGCAAGAAGCTCAACGCCAAAGCGTCAGTCAGTGGATGCAACAAGGGCTAGGGAGGAGAATAATTCACCTAGACAAACTACGTCACAAAGAAGTCGTAGAAATAGTGCTCAGCAGCAACAGACTTATTCAATGGAAACCGTACCTGAAGATGCTCAGCAAAGAAATTTCGATGTATTGTCTAACGATTCCAGAGGTGATAAACTAAGATCTAATAATACTGAACCAAGTAATAGGAAACAATCAGAATCGGAGTATGGTCGCAGCCGAGACAGCAAAGGAATGAACGGTGAAGAATATGAGCCAAATCACTCTCAAAGACAACGTGAAAAGATATGTAAATGCTCTTATTATCCAACGGGGAGGAGTACCCGAAATAATCAAAATTATTCTTCATATCCAGCAAGTAATACACAAAGCGACTACTATGAAGTTGATGCAGATTATGATCGTGTCAACGGCCGAAGCCGCCAGGAGGATTACAGAAAAGTCCGTGCATATAATACTGATGTTCCTGAAAGGTACCAGACCGATCCTAGTAACGTCCGCAGACGAAGCGATGATGACAATCGTCCTAGAACTCCAACAACTGATAATTACAGAGAGTATGATTCTGATATGCCTGAGAGATTGCAGACTGGTTTAAGAAACGACAGTAGACGAACCGATGACAATTATCGTTCCAGACCCCCAACAATTGAGAGTTATAGAGATAATCCAGTGTATAATTCTGATACGCGTGAGAGAATGCAGACTGGTTCAAGAAATGGCGGTCGACGAACCGATAGCAATAATCGTTCAAGAAATGAGATTTATAGAGATATGCCTGAGACCGGAGGAAGAAGGTATACTTGTTGTTACAGTAAATACGATCGTGCTAAAGAATCAGCATACAAGTCCCCGGCATATAATAACGATGTAATTGACGACGATGAGTATAATGCATGCGTTAGGCAATGTTTACCTAAAAAATATCAAAGCACTGACTATAATCGCAAAGCCTACAACAGTGACAATGTGCCGGCTGTTGAAGAAAACTTCAGGGGAAATGGTAATTCGAATCTCAAATATGAGGCCGAAGAGAATGGCTATGAAAGACAGCAGGAAAATCGAATCGATGAGTATACTGCCTGTAATTCTGAATGTCCGGTTCATCAGGAGAGTTCAAGGTACGCTCGAAAGTATCAAAATGAAGAACCGGAATATCAGAATCAACAGGCACCTCAAGTTAATCTGTATGTGACTTGCCATTCCGAATGTCCATTTCGCCAGGAGGATGGGTCCAGGTACCAAGATTGTCACTCTCTTAAATATCAGATTGAAGAAAATAACTATGAAAATGATCAGAATACTCGAGCTGAGGAGTATGCAGCAAGTCCGTCCAATCAATACCAGGAAGACTATGGAAAAACATACGAGAACTTTAATAATCAAAACGACGCTAATATGGATTGCCAATGTGAAGAAAGTCTGCTACCTGTGAATATCCAGAGCACAGTGGAGCAAATTACAGATGAGATCAATGTAATTCGGTACGCTGATTGTATACCAGATGAATGTCCGGCTTATCAGGCAAATATTGAAAATCCTGTCGATGAAATGCTAGATTGCGAATGTCCCACAGACGAGGAAGAACTACAGAAACCAAAAGCCGAGCAACCACAACAAGCTGATATGTTTAAGACGAACATAATTTGTCAATGCGAGGCAGCCGTGGAGACTGATCTAGATATGTCATTAAAGGACAGATATACACCACGAAAAGAAAGTGCATGTGAATGTCCCGAAGCAGCCGTGAATGCGACAGTGGTGTCCCAAAACGGGATTGAGGAGAAAAATTACAAATCAAACGACAGGAGTCCGCTAAATCAAAAGCCCCGACCACCAAAAGTGAACAGAAGAAAGCTTTGTTCATGCAAGCCGCCTGTTATATACAAAAATAAAAGCCCTAAATCGCCAAATGGAGTGTCAAAAGCTGAGACATCTAAACAAAGATCTTGCTCACCGGCGGGTACGAAAGCTCGTCCATCTAGCAAACGTCAAAATCGTGTGGAGGATGATAACATAAACAGTAAGTTTAAACGTAATGAAAGTCATGTTATCTGATCGCCGGCATTACCTAGAATTCCAGGGTCTCGGCGGCCAACGATGCAATCAAATTTTTAAGTTGCATAACGGCGGTAAAACCATTAGTCTAGGCGCTGAAGAAAACGGCTATAGTATACAGGAACAGACAGTTGTCTCTCAACCATGTGATGGCATGTCCATAGTGTGCTCATTTTCAGTGCCAGCTGTATTGGCTGAGAAGACAATAGATATGCTGAGCACTCACATTGCAAGCAAAGCGCCGCCAGACGTCGACGTAAAGCCTGCAGGCTCACGCAGGAGTTTGCCGGGAGAAATGCCACCAAAGAATGGCGCATCTGGTACTGAGACGTCAAACCCAGGCTGTCGGTATAGAAGTAATCCATTTTTAAAGCTCAACTACGAGATCTCCAAAGGCAATATAATTGTATGGCATCCTCCGGCCCAAGGCTTCCGAGCCTCGAAGAATTCGTTCAGCATGAAGGATTGTAAGATTGACAATAGCCAAGCTTCAAAGTTGGAGAAATCCACCCCGTCATTATCAACCAAATAGAAATACGATCAACAATGCCAACCGAAAGCCCAATCTAAACATAACTCTAGTTCCTTTACACATATCACAACCACAACCCAACCTTCCATAAAATGTTATTCAACAACTAAAAAAAAAACTGCATTTGACCATTTGGCGTGCGCGTAAAGGGATATTATTGGAACACCCCAGTTTTAAGCACGCTTTAGGGGCGTTACGCATCAGTGCTGTAGGAATATAACACTCTGTTACTCATCTGTTAGGGAGTTTTCGCCCAAAACTTATTGTTTTCCTGTCAATGGAGTTCTTACTTCAATTCTTGTAATTAATTTATGAGTATTTGCTGAAATCATTGAAGCGTAGAACGTCTAATTGATTTTTGTATGTAGCCAAAAACTTGACATCGTAAAAAAGCTCTTCGATTCTACTACATGTATATATGTACCTATTTATATATTGCTTGATCTTTGAATACTACAAATTGGCTTAGAGTACAGTTATTGCAGCTACATACATTGATCTGCGCTGCAAACCGTTTCAGCTAGCTACCAAAATATCCATTATATTATTCTAATTAACTGAAAGACTCAACTGCACATCTTTGTTTTTATCGTTTATTTAGTACAATATCATTTATGCTAATCGCTAGAAGAGAAATCACAAACCTTAAATCTTAGTGTTCTAGAAATACAAGTCGATCATCAATGTGGAGACGCCAGCTCGAAGCTGCTTTCGCTGCCGCCAAAGATCGTATAGTCCGCAGCATCCACGTCCTCGCCATTGTTGTCCAACAGATCGCATAGGGCCAAGATGTACGATTGAGCCATTTGCAGTGTCTCGAATTTGGATAGCTTCTGATCGATCGCGGGCGCTGGCACCACCTCACGCAGTCGATCGAAGGCCTCGTTCAGGCCATTCATGCGCTTGCGCTCGCGTGCATTGGCCGCCTGCCGGCGGCGCTTCTGCACGGTGGGACTGAGGATCAAGCCAGTGGAATCGGATAAGCGACGTGACTCCAGCTTGCGCTTCTTCACCGGCTGCTCACTCTCCACGCTCCAGGCGACGCTCGCCGGCATGGCAAGGGAATCATCATAGCTGGGGATCGATGTTAGCTGCTGTTGTTGCTGTTGCTGCTGCTGTTGCTGCTGCTGCTGCTGTTGTTGTTGGTGTTGCTCCAGGAACTGCCAATCGGGAGTTAGATAGCTGAGCTGGTTGAAAGTCTGCGTTAGATTGTAGTTGGGACTGCCGAGATACTGCGAGGAGCAGTTGTCCTCCTCCGATGAGTAGTAGCGACTCATGGTTGGCGTTCGACTGGACGACTCGAGTGCTGAGCCGCAACTGCTGCCGCTGCCGTTGCCGTTGCCACTGCCTCAGAGACTCGTGTGTGGCACGAGCTGCTGAAGCCACCCTTTGGGCTAGTTGTATAAATATTTTTACCGCCGCGCTGACCAAGTTTGAGGCAAGCAAATGACCCCTTGCCCAGTCAGCCAGGCAGCAAGGATCTTCATCATTAACATATCAAGGATCATCAACAGGGGCGGCTCTCTCTCTATCTCGCTCTCCCTTCCTCTCTCTTTTCAGTGCTAACATTTGGGGGTTAGATATGCGCTCTCTTTCTCTCTCTCTCTCTGTCTGTCTGTCTATCTCTCTTGCACCCGCCTACTACTTTGACCTTTGCTGGTCCGCTCTCGCCTTGGCACGCGTCATAGCTTGCCAAATTGCCGCTATCATGGCATCTGATCTCTTTTTCTATAATTTGTGACTTTCACGCTCAACAGCACACACAGCGCAAGCGAGAGGGAGAGGGAGGATGAGCTACTGTCTGACTCGACTCGGACTCGAACTCAGCTCGTCGACTGGCTGTGGCACATCAATTAACTCGCTGTTGAATTTCTTTAGTGCCTCCCCGTCTAGTGACCATATGTTGCAGCGCAATGCAACCGACACCATATGGCCAGCACCAAGCCGAGCTCTCGACTGGAGTGTTTAGTAAATGTCCTTTGGATTACCTTTTGAATTACCTTCTATTTATATTTGTATTTTTTTTTTTTTTTTTTAGGTTTTTAGCTCGACACGCGACTATTTTGTTGAGCAAGTCTTATACATTTTAGCTTGAGCCGTAGGTCGTACAGCTTTATCAGATAGAAGCTTACAAATGATATGATAACTGAAAAAAACTAGAGAAAAGTGGGTTTTAAAGAGTTTATTTAGATTAAGATTGCATAATTAAATCATTAGCTTTAACGGTAGTTTAGCCATAAAGTCTTCAGTCTAAGTCTTCAGCTACTTAATTGTCAAATTTAGGAGTTTATAAAAAGTCAAACAGTTATTCTTATAATAATAATAATAATAATAATAATAATAATAATAATAACGAATTTTCCTTTTACCATTAGTTTCAATTTTTGTTACAGGCACACTTGATGAGAATTCTGTAAATATATATATTATAATATCATTCATTATATGTACATATGTATGTAAGATATCAGATGTCTGCATCGTTTACCTCGCTTCATCGGAACTTCTCCTTTGTTATGCTTCTAATTGTGTATAAATGAAAATAATATGACCTATTTATACGGTACTGAAAGTACTCAGAAAGCTGCTTCTATCGTTATAAATGCATCTTCATTAAATTAGAGAACAGGAAGTGGGGCCAAAAAACTTTGACTGTGGGTAGCCTGTGAAACGCTCAAAGCATAAGAGAGAGGAAGAGAGAGAGAGAGAGAGAGAGAGAGAGAGAGAGCACGGTGATGCTGCGCATGCACCTACCATTCGCTGGCTTCGGCAGAACGCTTTTGTAGAGAAATATGAAAATCGAGAGAGCTTCGTGGAGCAGCAGCAGCAGCAACAGGACCACAAGAATGTTGTCCAAGTATTTGCATGGCGAATAGTTGACAACATAAACATTGTCGATGCAGCGCTGCAAGCGTTAAAAAGCCAAACGTTTATCAAAGCGGATAAGAGTGAAATTTTAGCCAAAAGACTTTTTCCATTCGAGATTGCAGAGGCGAGTTTGCGGTGCAACAAAATGTGTTTGTATTTGGGCGTCGTGGAGCATTTGGTGGATGTGGTGGCCTATTGTGTCTGCCGGATGCTGGAGCTAACGCTGCTCACCTTCGTGATGATGTGCAACACGGCCAAAGCCAAGCTGAGCAGCAGCAACAACGGCAACAACAACAACCAGCTCGTCCTGATGGAACAATGACCCAGGTTCACGTTTGGACTCCATGTCCATTGCACGGGCCAGTGCCGGGAAGCCGACAGACGCTGGGGCGTGGGCAACGTCTAGGGATTCTCTGAATGGAATATTGAAGTCTACTTTATTTTGGTGTACTTTTTTGGCTTAGATATATGTACAAAATATATATATATATGTATATGTGAATAAATTGCAGGCGTGTATAAATTGAGGTGTCTGAGTGTTGCTTGACTACTGCACAGTGGTTCGAGTATTATTTTTTGTGAAGCTAAAATGTTGTGGATTTTTATATAATTACCATGAATAAATAAATAGATTTGGGAAGAAATTTGTATTTTATTTTGAAATATCTAAGTGTAAAATCAATGTGTATTTATTAAAATACTAAAACACTTAAAATCTGCATATATAATCCGAATACCGAATTTGTTTGCCATCCGGAATGATAATTGCTGAAGAATGGTATTATATTATTTATTTTAATGATAATTAGTTCTCTACAAATCGCTCTGCATATGAAGTTAAAGGGTATATTGTTCGCCTATTCTCTTTTTGTCGTTGTCTACAATAAAGATCTTAAAATATATTTAATATAGAGAGCTTATATACATATCTCATATTTGACCGATGATATTGTCAAAAAGATTTTTTCTGTTCAATCTCTTTTGGGCCTCATGTAGAAGTGAGCTCTGTGTCTATCTCTAATACCATCGTATGGAGTATGGTGATATGGTGATCTTTCAAAATCCTATAGCGAGAGCCCTTTACATATGTATATGTATGTATATTAAAAATATTTCAACTGGACCCTGAACAAGCATAATGCAGTCATTAATACCTGTTTATGTATCATATCATATAAAAATATAATATAATATTAAAATCCACATTGAAATGTTTTGTGCGAAATGTATTCAATTTGTCCCATTGTCCAACGGAGCCATAACTTAGACTTGGCCTGGGGCAAGGATTTGTCTATTTACATTGTGTGTGTTGTGTGTGTTTGTTGCGTACTATTTGTTGTTTGTGTTTGTGTTTGTGCGTGTGTATCGCAGTGTCTCAGCCATTTATTGTGCTTATTAACATTGCGGAGCCGAAAGCAGCAACCCATTTGCATGATGATAAAGTATCGACTAGGGGCTTACACATGTAGCAATTTATTTATTTTCGCTCTGCTTTTCGGCGCCTCGAAATATGCTACACTCCCTCTCTCATTCTTTCTGCCTATTGTATTCAAATATGCTACTCCTCCTCTCTCGCTCTCTTAGCACTTCAGGCTTCAATTATATTCCCAGTTCTATAGTCTCTATTACAATTGCTATCTCTGTCCCTCTCCTATTTTATCTCTACTGTTATATTTATGTAGTTGTTTACAGTGTTTGTGCTTCTGGCGCTGCTTACGCATAAATTTATTGAAATTGTAGCAAAGTTTATTGCACACGCACAGCACCTAATGGCCCATTATTATTATCATCATCATCATCATCATCATTGTGGGTTAGATTCATTTGCAAGCCTTTATCTGAGCCATAGACTACTTAGCCTAAACCCAATTTTATCTATTTATTGACTTGTTATCAAAGAGCAACAATTATATTCATTTGGGATAGATCAATTTAGGTTCTGTAATCAGAGATTCATTAACTTACCCCTTCGATTCCTTTTACAACTTTAGCTTAATTACCCTTTGGCATGCTCGACTGGAAGATACTCTGACCCATTCAACAAGTTGAAGTCAGAGAGAACATAGAGGAAACACGAACTTTACTTTAGTATTTCTTGCCCGACTAATAAATACCAAAAAGAAATAACACTTCACAATATTGATAGTACTTAGCAAAACTAATCAAAGTACAACAAATTTATGAGCTCATTCAGAGTGTTAATTGTAACAGAACCGAATCTTGATTTTAACAAAATTCCTTCACCCAGTAACAAAAATAAATAAATTCCCAATACCTCATAGCTGCATTTTGGGCATTTTAAATCAAAGTTGGAGCAGTGAAAGCAAACGTGTTTTTAAATTCAACAAAATTCTATGCAATTATGGATGCGATCGATAAGACAGAGGTGAAGCAATCTATTTCTGAAACAAGCGGTGCGACAGAGCTGGGGGACAAAGCGGAGGAAAAACTGGAGGAGAAACCGGAGGAGAAACCGGAGGAGAAACTGGAGGAGAAACCGGAGGAGAAACCTGAGGAGAAACCGGAGGAGAAACCGGAGTCGCCGACCACATCGCAAACGGAGATCAAGGAGCAGCCTGTCGTGTATGACTACATGAAGTATCCCAACAAGAAGAAGGGACGAGTTCTGCACAATCATCACCACAATCGACTCAAGATGAGGAAGAACGTCTCCTTCAAGTGTATCGTAGAGCTGGTGACCTATACGGACGATTGGAAAATGCAGACAACCCAAAGCAAACTGCGCACTGAGGATCAGCAGGTGCGTCTCATATATCTAGATATATATATGTATATCTATTCATTTCCCTTATCCCCCCGCATGCAGAGAGAAAGATCCAAAAATCTGAGACGCAACTTTTGATAATCGATTGATTTGAATTGCACATCATTTTTAAATGTATTTTGTGAATTTTATGTAATTAAAATCGAATACAGAAATAAATTTAGTCAAGACACTTTATCGTAGAAGATGTATGTGAATATTTCTATAATAAGAAGATAAAATGTGTACAAATTTATATATACAGATCTAACTATCTTTGGATATTTTGCTAAACATATTGCAACGCAACTTGTTCATGATGTTACATATCACATATTCGCCCCGATCCTTGCCCTCAAAGTCGCCCGTCTTGATGCCCTCCTCCATGGTGCGCAGCATTTCGCTCCACAGCGCCTCCGCGCACTGATGATGGCCCAAATGGTGCAAGAGATCGACACAGGTAGACACGATGCCATACGGACTGAGCATTTTGTAGTTGGTCAGCGATAGTTTCGTTTGCAACGGCTTGAACACCGCATGATGATCCCCGATTTCGATGGACGAGAACAGATTGGAGCCACCGCAGATGGCGCTGCAGATGGTGGCCATGAATGTGCCGTAGAGATCGCTGGTCACCACCACATCGAAGTTCTGCGGTTCGAGTATGAGACGCGCTACACAGCGATCCAGTTCCATTGGCTCCGCATTAATGTCGGGGAATTCGTTCTTCACCAAATTTGAGGCGACGTCCAGCAGGACGCCCTCGGTCTTGGGCCACTCGGACGACTTGTGCACAATGGTCACCTTTCGCCGCTTCTTCGCAATGGCCACCTTGAAGGCAAAGCGTAAAAATCTCTTGATGTCCTTGCTATTGATGACGCGCAGGCCCTCGATGACGCCCTCCACCGGCGAGTACTCCAGCTCGGCATAGTTGCCCATGTTGTTCTGTGCGATCAGCTGGATATCGACGTTCGGAAAGCGACAATTGAAGCCGGGAAAGCTGCGCAAGTTGGTCATAAAGACATGCAAATCCAGATCGTTGCATATTTTCAACGATTGGCTCTTCGCCTTCGCGTCGTGCTGTATGTCTACATGAATCGCAGCACGATTGCGCAACACCGAGTTGTAGTACTCCTGGCCCTGGTTCACGAAGATGCGCTGCACATCGACCGGCACCCGGGCGCTGCTCAGCAACGAGGTGACATACTTGGCGCCCTGTTTTCCGATTATGGTCTCGCCACAGAGCAGGGTGACATGTGTGATGCCCCCATATTTGGAACGGGGCAGAACACTGACGTCCTTCGTGCGCAGCTCGCCCTTGATCACGGCTGCCGTGACCCCCATCACGTTCGCATCATCGCCGTAGTTGCGCCTCCACAACTGGGAGAGTCCAATATGATGATGATATTGACTGTTCCGCAACCGTCGCATTGTAGCGATACAAATTTAGTTGGAAAAAAATTTGGAAATAAAATAATTATCTAAAAATTTGGCCTCAGCTTACTAAGCTATGAGATATGTGGCTGTCAAGCCCCCAAAGCCCCATAATCAAACATGACAGCAAATTGATCTCGAAACATTTTATTCTCCAAGTTGTTGTTGTTGTTAGTTTAACCGATTTGGTATGATCTTCATCGGCTATGCGACAAAATCAACGCCCGTCCCTCCGCATGTCACTTATATGTCCCAGCAGACGTTCTTCTGCGCGCACGGACAACCATCGACTCCATAGTTGCCAATCAGGATTTCAGTTTGCGTTCCCTTCTCCTGTGGATTCACATAGTCGTACACGTACTTGGTGTAGTACTTGTCCGGCAAGTAGTATATGGGTATCTCCTTGACGATGCGTAGGTGATCCTTGAGCAGCATTTCCCCCATCTCTGGTGAAGTGTACCTGGCCCTCACACTGTACTGCTTCTGCTTGACCTGCCGCAGCGTCGGCTCCAGGTGGAGATGATAATGCGGTATGAACTCATCCAGATTCACATCCAGCTCGTCCAGCTGCTTTTGGCGTATGATGTCGCATTGCTGGCAACGACATTTGCCGCCATGATAGCAATACCTCTTCTTGCCATCTGTATCGACCATCATCAGTGGAACGCATTTTGGCTTCTCGATTGGCTGAGGCTCCGTCTGAGTTGACCTCGTGGCCTGTGGTGGATCCGAATACATCATGGCACCGAATGTGTTGTCGCAAACTGGGAGAATTCAATGATGGAATGGAGTTGCTGACAACAACAAATTTCGTTTCTAACTGAGACCAGTTGACATAAATACGACAAGCAACGAGACATGTAAATGTATTCGATTTTATTTATGGAGCAAAGCAGGCCACGATTATATGCCCAAGATGGTACGAAGGGCACTCTGTAGATCCAATCTCTCACATTAGAGTATAGCTGGAGAGAGCAACTGTCTGCTCTCTCGATCTATACTCTGAGGGGAAAGAATGGTTACAGAGCAGCCTGGACATCGATGGGCAATTATGGTAGGTCAGGCTCTATCAATCTCTCAGCTGAGAGTGTGATTGGAGAGAGAAGTTTCCTTGACATCTATAATCAGAAGGGAAAGAAGGCTGGGAGCTGCAACTTCTTTGGCATGGCCTGATCGTAAATGGGAGATCTCCCCAGCCTCCCTCAGTTGAGAGCATAGTTTGAGCAGCAGCTGCTTTGCATTGCCAACTCAATCGACACTCTCAAGTGAAGGAATGTCATTATCATCAGAGCCAACTCCTAGGCAACGGTCCTTGAGACTCAAGCTAGATTATCCGGCTATCATTCTGGAGCATCGTGTCTGGACCCGAGCAGTAAACATTTTTGCTAATATCCTTGTAGACTTTGCGAGGCTTAACCAAGCCGCAGTTGGGGCACGTACGGACGTATGCATTGTCCGCCCTTCGCTCCGACTCAATTAGTTGGGCATAGTAGCGCTTCAGCTCGCGATAACGCAGCTCTCGCTCGAATTGTTTTAGCGCTGGACATTGTTTGATCTCGAATTGCTCGTCTTGTTCCAGAACCTCGTTAGGCTTTTCGGCTTTTGGTTTGCCTTGCTTGGCCTTCGGCCTCCTGGGCTTTTTTGGCAAAGGAACGACACTCGAGATGGGCACTTCAAAGAAGGTCTCTGTGTGCTTGTAGGTTTGTCTCGCTTCGTGGTTGCCGTTGGATATCTTGCGAATGACATAGTCGTTGGGCGAGGTCAACGAGCCACGGAACGAGAGCCTATACCATTTCGGATGATAGGACATTTGTCGCCTGCTAATTCGAATGGCGTTAAAATTTTGAATATTTTATCAAAGCAATGTGAGACGAAATAAAGTAAAAAGAGAAAGTGAGAATGGAGAGTACAAAATGGGCTGGTTACAATCTACGCAGATAACAGCGAAGATCTATGGGTAAGATAGGTAGGATAATTCTATATAGATAACAGCCTCGTATAATACAGAGAACATTCAAGTTCAGTTGCAAACAATTTGTCTAGCTAACAAGAAGCAAAAATAGAAAATGTCTCTGATAGTCGAGAATGAGATCCAATGGCTGACGGAGATTATTTTGCCAAAGATTCTGCGTAATGGAAAACTTCTCGATGACTACAACGAATCGCTGGCTGAAACATTCGAAGTGAAGAGCGTTGAAATCAATGTAATTGGCGTCGATGAGGCGTACATGCTGACCATATGCTACAGAGCTACGATCGAGCTGAAATATGCAGGGCAGCAGCTGCAGAAGAAATTAGTAGTAAAGGTAAAACCAAAGAGCTTATCGTAGCTTTAAATACTATTTTATAGCAGTTAGGCAAGACAAGGAATTATATTAGAATCTACGTGACGATGATAACCTAAGCTATATTTACAATGATTTGCACAGAAAACGCCCAAGATATCGAGCGACCTATACAATGTGATACAATTTGATAGTCTGTTCAGCAATGAAGTTATCTTCTACACCGAGATACTGCCAGTTATCCAGGAGCTGAGCAACGGCAAGTTCGCTGCGCCCAGATATTATTATAGCGAGATCAAAGCGGATGCTGCGCTGATTATACTGAGTGATTTTGCCTCCGATGGCTGGAGTGTCACCAAAGACCTGTACGGCCTGAGCCTGGAGCATGCCCGCATAGCAGGTGAGTCTGCAAAATAATTTCAGTTTGCTAAATAGATATATTTATATTTGTAAATTTGCAGTTAAGTACCTGGGCACATTTCATGGCTTTGGCTTTGCCATGAAGCACACGCAGCCGGAGCGTTTCCAGCAGCTCACTGCAAAGCTGCGGGAAGCTCGTTACGCCAAGGAGACGCTCAGCACGGAGTGGGGATTGAAGCATAAAATCAGCCTGAGGCGAGCCGAAGGAGTCGTAGCAAAATATCAGCCACAAATGGACAAGGAATTCATTAGGAAATTCCAGCAACTCGTCTACAGTTATATAGGCTATGGACGCCAGAGAGTGGCGCCGCGCGAGCCCCTCTCCACACTCTGCCATGGCGACTATCTGAGGAACAATGTGGCCTACAAGTACGACGCGGACAGCAGTGGAACGCCTCTTGATATCATGATGTTCGACTATCAGACAATGCGTGTGTCCTCGCCCATGATAGATCTGTCCGTCTTTCTGGCTCTTTCCCTGCTCGCCGAAGTGCGCTATGCGAATTTCGATACTCTCTTCGATGACTATTGCAATGCCTTGGCTGAAAGCTACAGAGAACATTCAAAGCAACAATTGCCGGAGTTCTTAAGGTACAGTAGGGTAAGACCTCGATCGGTCCATATTAATAGCTTATTTACCTTCTTGCAGTCGCGAGAATTTGCTAAAGGAATATATCCGATTCTTACCCTATGCCATACATATAACCTCCTATTTTCTGATGTCGCTCGTTGCTCCACCTAAAAAATCGCCGGCAGAAAACTTCGAGTCACAGATCTCCACCAAGGAAATTGTGCAGACGGCCATGCATCAAGGCGGCGAGTTGGTGGATCGTGAAATAGCTCACCAGCTTAAGGAATTATACGAACTGAGCCGCTTGCACAACGTGCAAATAGATGAGCATATTGATACATCCAAGTGGTCTGAAGAGGCTGCCAAGTTTGTAAATGAATCAACTGAACTGTACGGAATTGATTGAATTTTGCAAAGTAATATACATAGATGCTCTTCACAGGGCTTCCTACCACATAGCAAATGTCTTATCTTATCTCTATTATTATTGTTTTAATTACTAGGGGGTATACATATACAGAGTCTACATTCTTTCTACCTCACTGCGATAAATTCGTAAACATTTCGGATTACACCAAACGAAACAATGTTAGGTAAATCAATCACGTATCCACACTCACGCGAATAATATGTATATGTATATATATATATATATGTAAGTATGTGCTACATATGCATATACATGTATATATTTGTACTATTACACACGATCGTCGATTGTCGCTTAAAACTTGGCCACATTGCCGTCCAACTAGTAGTTGCTTGTTATTCACGAAGCCGAATGGTTCTCGACGAATGCTTAGATAATGGCGTTGTGTGTTGATAAAGAAATCGACTGGCTGACCAGTACAATTTTACCAGAGATTCTGAAAAATGGTCGTCTGGTTGATAATTACAGCGAAGCACTGCTGCCGAGCTTCAAGGTTGGGGATATCACAATCGCTGTAATTGGACCCGAGGAGGCCTTCATGTTGACACAATGCTATCGAGCGACAATTCAATTCGAATACGCCGGCGAGAAGTATCAGCGTAAAATGGTTGTTAAGGTGTGTTACGTACTATATATGTACATACATGCATACTTAACTGTAGAAGCATTATATTATTTAAATCTACTATGGATACATAGGCTATACTATACCATATATGTATACACCAAATGAACTTTGCTTTACATTATATACTTCATTTACAATATGACTATATTATATGCATCACAAACTATAATTAACTATGTAAACATCATAAGCTATACTATATTAAGCAATTTGTATGTGGGACAATGGGATTGCGCCAACAAAGCTACGCTCAATTGATTCCCCTCTCTCTCTCTCTCTCACACACACAGAAAACGCCAGAGATCCCAGCTGAGGCTTACAACGACGCTCAATTTGAGAACTTATTTCACAACGAAATTTGTTTTTATACGGATATACTGCCCATTATACAGAAACTGAGCGATACCAAGTTTGCTGCGCCCACGTATTATTATGGTGAGATTAAAGCGGAGTCGGCTGTGATCATCTTGGGTGACTTTGCATCGGATGGCTGGAGTGTGACAAAGGCTAGATATGGTTTGAGTCTGGAGCATGCGCGCATTGCAGGTGAGTTCAAAGATGAGCAGAGTAAACAGTTATTCTTATTCTCTATTTTCCTCACACATTCTCAGTCAAATATCTGGGCAGATTTCATGGCTTTGGCTATGCTCTGAAGCACAATCAGCCTGAACGTTTCAAGGAGCTTTCAGGCTGCTTTAGAGAATCACGTTTTGCCAATGACAACATTAGTCCCGAGTGGGATTTAATATCCAAAGTTGGACTGCAGCGTGCGGCTCAATCAACCCACAAATACCATCCCGAAGTGGACAAGGAGTTTATCAAAAAGTTTCAACAATTGGTGTACAAAAGTGTGGGCTATGGGCGTCAACGCGTGGCGCCTCGCGAGCCCCTCTCCACACTCTGCCATGGCGACTATCTGAGGAACAATGTGGCCTACAAGTACGACGCGGACAGCAGTGGAACGCCTCTTGATATCATGATGTTCGACTATCAGACAATGCGTCTGTCCTCGCCCATGGTAGATCTGTCCGTCTTTCTGGCCAATTCTGTGCTGGCAGATGTGCGCTATTCAAATTTCGACACTATTTTTGATGATTATTGCGAGGCGCTGTTTGAGAGCTATACGAAGCAATCTAATGAACAACTTCCAGCATTCTTGAAGTAAGATGATGTAATGAAGTTTATACAGCTTGTAATTAATTTTTCCTTTCAGTCGCGAGACTTTGCTGCAGGAGTACATACGCTTTTTGCCATATTCGCTGGGCATTTCAGCTTCATTCCTCCCGTGGCTGGTCGCACCGCCACAACTTACGACCGCTGAAATGTTCACTCAACAACAGTCCCAGGCGGAAATTGTTGAAGCGTCCATGACACAAGGCGGCGAAATTGTTGATCGTGAAATTGCCCACCAGATGAAGGAAATGTTTGAGCTGAGTCAATTGCATAATGTTCAAATTGATGAAGATATTGATAACAGCGAATGGATTACAAGTGTTAATTTTGCATATGTAGATAACAATTCACGGGAGCTTTGTCATTGTGAATGAGCAAAAATAAATATTGCCAGATGTAATGACTTTTACTTTTTAGAACAAGTAATGATTCGTGCTGATAGCTAAGTAGGATTTTGGTCACATACATATGTACATATCTACACATTTTTGTTTAATCCCAAACAAGTTCTATGTAGTGTGTATGTTGATTAACTGTAGATAGCAGGTGCCAGCTGATTAAATTGGCATAAAAAGCCGCATAGCCTATGTGGCAACTCCGGTTTTTATGACGATAATAAATCGTTTTTATTTTTGGATATGCAGCTGATTGCCACCGACTATGTGGCAGCACTCTTATACGAATCGTCTGGCAGCACTAACACATATTTAAGAACAACAGGTTCTTGCTGAATTTTAGCAACAAATATGTTTAATCCTTCTCGACAGCAAGTGCTGCGGCTTTATAAGCATCTCATCAAATACGGCAATCATTTAAAGCTAACGGATAAGAATTATTTCCTTGGTCGAGTGCGACACGAGTTCCGCGAAAATAGACAACTAACAAACGCTCAAGAAATTGAGTTTAATTTTAAGGTACGCAGTTATATCACTAGAAAAGGGAACTAAATTTCATTTAAATTATTTACTTAGCGTGGCGAAACATTGCTGAAAAAAGGGCGCATACTCTAGTAATGCTCAAATTGCGTTCCTTAGCTGGTTCACTCTCCAGCAATCTCTGTCGGCTGGCCTCCAACGCCCACTTGGACTACTCACGTTACCCAACCCTGCAGGAGTCGGATATTGAGGAGACATTGATGCGTGGCAGCGGACCCGGAGGACAGGCTGTAAACAAAACCAACAATTGTGTCTTTCTGCGTCATCTGCCCACGGGCATCACAGTCAAATGTCATCTGCACCGCTTGGCCTCCAAGAATCGCATCGAAGCCCGTAAAATACTGCTGGAAAAACTTGATGTTCACCTAAACGGAGAGAAGTCCATTGCAGCACAGCAGAAGGCGCTTGATCAGAAAAAGTCAACGGAGCGCAAACGCCGGCAAGGAAAACTGCACGAGATGAAAAAGAACTGGCAAAATCGTGAGCGCGAAGAGAGTGAATGAATGAACCGAAAGACTTGTTAAACTTTAAAATTTGGGTTTTTATTCGAGCACTACTACCAGCTGGCGAAGTCGCCGAAACCATTGGCAACTTTTTTCTTTTTCGCCGGCTGCGCAGCTGGCAATTGCTCTTGAGGATCTGGTTTCTTAGGTGCACTTGGTTTAAGGTATTTTCCAACTCCTGGACGATATACTTTCAGTGGCTCGTTCATGCGTTTTTGCTGCTCCAGCTTTGTCGCTGCCACCTGCTTACTGGCCGCCTCTTCGGCGCGTTCTTTGGCCAACTGTTCTACGGCTTCCTCGAACGGGTTGACAAACACTTGAGCATTCTCTATGATAATGTCTTCGATGGGCCGATCTTTGTTGTCCACCTCAATATTCTCCATTTTCTGCAGCGTCTCCAATCCGCCAACAAGCTTGCCAAATATTGTGTGCTTGCCATCGAGTTGCTTGCACGACCGATAAGTAATGAAGCTGCAAGGAATAATTTAAGTTATTTGTTTAAGTAACATAACCAGCTTTACTAACAACTGAGAGCCATTTGTATTGGGTCCTGAATTGGCCATGGAGAGAATGCCCCGTCCCGTGTGCGAAAGATTTGGCTTGAACTCGTCCTCAAACATTTTACCCCAAATCGATTTGCCGCCAGCTCCAGTGCCTGTTGGATCACCACCTTGTATCTAAGAAGAAATTAACGTTACTATCAGTTAAATATAGCTTTAAATATTACTAACTATAAAGTTCCGGATGGAGCGGTGAAACAGCACATTGTTGTAGTAGCCGTCTGCGCAATGCTTTATAAAATTATCGCAAGCGCGTGGCGTCTGATCACAGTAGAGCTCCAAGTTGAGTGGCCCGAAATTTGTGTTAAGTCGCACGTAGCCCTTCTTCTTGACGCGCTCGTACTTAACCAAATCGTCATCTATGATGGCTGCCTCGATCTGGGAGACGGGCACCATGGCAGTGGACGTAAAGCTGGCTGCCACTGCACCAGTCGAGTAGTGAGCCGCATTAAATTTGTCTGCAGTGCGCTTCGACGTTGTGGGTGCTTCTTCTGCTGGCTGGTAATCCTTTTGTAGCTGTGCGAGGGTCTCTTTTGTTTCCATATTCATTGTCTTGATGCGTCCCTGGGGATCTTTTCGTTCCAGCTGCTCTTCAGCCGATAAAACACGCAGGTTTTTCTTGATGTGATAGAATTTGGATATGTCGAACTTTTCTAAATGTTGCGGATCTTGTATGGTTATAATATCCTTGCGCTGGAATGGTGTGTCATCAATTAAATCCTTCCAGTTCTTGGTCTTGATGTTAAGCTGGTCAATTGCCTCCCAGCAGTAAACATTGCCCGTTGTACCCACAGCCACAATGTGTGAGTTTTTGCTGAACGGCTTGAAGAGAGCTGGACAATGGTATTCATCATTGGCATTTTTATAAAAGTTGAGCTTCAGCAAGGACTTGGAATCCATTTTTTGACCAGTAATGGGATTCACTTTGAACGCCTTCAAGAAATTTAGAATGGCCTCATATTCAAAGACGTTTCCATTAGGATCGCAGTATGGCGTTTCAAATGGTGCCATGGTTATACAGCAATTGCCAAATGGCAAACGTTTAAATTTAATATGCTCATTTTCCAAAGATTCCACCTTTTTGCCACCATAGAACTCGCTCCACTCGGTGTACGTTAGGTACCTGCCAAAACGTGTTATCAGTTACTCCATAATTAGAGATTAAGCTTTAAATCTTACATTTTATCCTTTTGATGCTGTCGTTTACCCATTTTGCAGGCTTTTTATGCAATTACAAGTCACAAGTAAACAAAAACAATCTTCGCAATTGTATTGGATATTCCATCCAAACGATAAACTATTTGATATGCGGTCTATCGATAGACTCTGATAGCAACTGTATTTAACAGCTGTTCAGAGCTGCGGTCACATTGTCAACCCAAGCTGAAGCCGCGTCAAATTTGTTATTGTTGATATTTAATTAATTGATCATAAAATATGTCGCAGCCGATTAAAAATTGTGTGTCGGAACCTAATATTGAGGAAGCTTTCCAAAGGCACAGTCCAATCGCAGCCAAAGTGAAGGCAGAATATGATAAAGCATTAATAGATTTGTTTGCAGATATGGGGTAAGTCTTTTGGTGTCTTTGAATTGTATGTTATTGATATATTTATATTGCAATTGTAGACCCATTTGCCTGGAGCCATTTGCAGCCATTCTATTGGAGCACGAGAACACAATTCTGAACAAAGACACTTTAATAGAGCGTGTGCGCATGCGCATGAGCCAGCTGCTGCCCAAGATCAATGAAAATTTCTTTGTTTCCAATGATGTAGGCAAAAAATTAATAACCCTTGAGGTACTCAAAGAAAAATTTGAACCCTATAAAGGCACAAACTGGTAACTGGAGGCTATGATATACATATCCTGAATATTACATTGAAAATATAAATGTTACAGGCAAGTGCATAAGCTGACACCTGAGGAAAGGACAAGACCTGTGCGCATGCGTCTTATGGATTCCAGCATTAGATTTATACAAAAGCAGATACAGGGACAGGAAAAAGCCATAGAGGCAAGCTTGCATTCATAATTGCTTTCTCTGCATAAATTTGATTATTATTTCCATCTATCGTTCTAGATTGCCTTGGCAAAGAGTAAAGAGAACCGGGAACGCATTCAAAACATTCAAAACGAACGCGTCAAGCTTTACGCCCTCATGCAACAGCAAATGAGTTACTACGAAGAAATGGAGCCAAAACTAATGGATCTAATAAAAGTAATGATAGGAAATGTAGATTAGCTTAAAACTTCATAATTGTATATACTCCAAATTAGAAATAAATTTAAAGCAGTTCATTGTGAATATTCAACATTTATCGAATATTTCAATTAATAGACTAGTTGATTAACTTCAGCCACTCTTCAGCTCTTTGCAGTGATGTAATCAGTGGGGAAAACTTTTTCGGCATACATAATATTGTTGGTAATGTTGAACAGCATGAAATTATAATGATATATCAAAAGTAGATTCTAATTGCATATTCTATCAATTAAACAGCATTATTTTGTATCATATCATATGCTTATTAAATACTTGTCGATTATTACCACTGGTCAGTGTTAGTACACATACATTTTTGAATTTTAACGAGTATTTTAATATACACCAGAGCTATCGAAAATTGAGTTAATCGTCTGATCAAGAATCGCCTCTTTGAGCTTAACAGCAGGATAACAGCGGTATGCAGTAGCGAAAATTCGCGTTTCATCATTGAGCAGCTTTTCATTATAATTTATTCAGTCCTTCAGTTAACATCGTTTTGCTTCCAAGTTTTAAATATATAAAAAATTTTTTAAGCATACATTTTTTGAAATCAAAAGTTAAACGTTTGAAGAGTCTGTTTTACTATTTTTTTTTTCTTTTTTTGTAAATGCTGCGAGTGAAATTTTTTACCAAGCTTTTATTATTATTCGTTTTCCGGCTGTGAATTGTGTCAATTCTTTTTATTTTACAAGTATTGCACTTTTCACGGCCGGAAAAAGGGTAAAATATTTAACACGTATTAATTCGCAGATACATATATGTATATATTGTATAGTCTGCAATATGTGCTTCATTCGCTACTATATTCCCGCCAAGTAAGTTTCAAAAGTAAAAACGAAAAATGTAAAATTTTCAACTGCGCTTGTAGGACGGTATTTGTGACAATATGAAATGATGAAATAATTTTATTCACCATATTGCACATCTCCCGGCCTATAAAAGAGTTGTGAACTCGTCCATTAAAAATAAATGTGTACTTGAACTAAATTTTCACTATAAATATCATTTAAATGTATTCATTTTTAGGCCGTGCTATGTGACAATATGTATTTAATTTGTATTCATATTGCACATCTCCCGGCCTACAAGTGTAAATGCAAAATTCAACACATAATTCATAGTTCTATGGTATGTCTGTATGTAAATAGAAATTGTACCGCAGCATTTTTGTGCATGAATATGTATGCATAAAAGTAGAGTCCCGTTAGAAGATTGATCAGCTTTAAGCGCGATGAGTGCGAGCGAGACGAATAGAATGGCGCCGTGCAAAATCTGTTTTCTTAGAAATCCGACGTTAACTTTGTGCCGTCGAACTTTTTCAGATTCTGCTTTAGCCTTCCTTCCGCTCGCGCTTTTTAACATTTTCTTTTTGAGCTGTGTATATCTGTGCATTTGTGTATGGATAATAGAATAGTGGCAGACGCAATCTTTGCAAAACAATATGGCAAAAATTCAAATGATGTATATAATATATGTTTTTTATATTTTTGTATTTATATTTGATATATATTTTAGCTACAAACAATATGTGCAAGATTGAATATTGTGCCTCAAATGTGATTTTTTCGCAAAATTGTTAATTTTGAAATTAACGTCATTTTTCAAGTAGCGCCACCTGGTGTAATATTTAGATATTTAATCGTGCGCGTGTATAACATGCGTTTAGCCCAGACAACAACCTACAGTAGAACAGATAGCAAAACAGTCTAAATATTTTTTTTCTAAATTATGGTAGTATAATAAGTGTACGTACATATGTATGTGGTTAGCAGGGATAGTAACCGTTTTGTATGTAGCGAAGAGCGTACTGTAATCTTGACAGTTAAATTTGAATATAGCGTGCTAAACAAATAATTATAAAAATTATTAATTAAATAGCTAGCTCTTTTTAAATGACAAAAAAAAAAAAAATTTTTTTATAAAATAGGTAGTGTTAGATTAGACCACAGAATGGAAATAATTTAATTTTGGTTTGAGAATTTGCATTTAAGCTTTGACTGTTTGTAAATCACTGACGTTAATTAAAATTTAATATTAATTTGCGACTTTAGGAATGGTGTTAAATCAATCATTTTAATAGGCATTTGTTTGATGTTCGCTCTAATGTAAGAGGCAAATTTAATTAGCGCGCATCGTTGGCTGCATTTGTTTTCACGTCATTTACCGTTGCGCATTAGCCCGCCTACTGGGAAGCAGGTG